TGCATATGGGGAAAGTCATCACAAATTTGCTTCATCCCTCCTGTATGGGCTTCTATGCCACATTTTGAGGGAAAAGACAGAATAGACTCCCTACCTCTCCATAAGCATGTCATAAGAGGCTACTGGTTCAGGTTTTGCTGAACAGTTGCACTTGTGTAACTATTGCATCATGGCTGTAAACCACAATATAATGCACCAACTACCATTTTAAGAGCAAACACAAAAGATGAAGAATTGTCAAACAACTGTTGAATAGAGCTGCAGTAAACTGTTCTTAGTGAAGAAATATTTTCGGGAATGCAAATGAATTTTGTTTTGAAACACCTAATATGGAATGTCAATATTCACAAAGATCTAAAACATATCGGGGGTCCGCCTCTAATATGATTTAAAGTTGAGGCGGGACATGAATGATACAGGTATTGCGGAGGATTAATGGGAACAGAATGACATGGGCCACATTGTAGGGAGGGGGAAAGTTGGAAAGCGAACAGGGATAAAGGAGAGACAAGGATTGCAGACAGATTAAAAGCTGAGAGTCTCAGAAGAAACATGACAAATACATGTGATGGCGAGCAACAATGGTTCTGAAATCTCATACTCTTACTATGGGAGATGCTTCTTAATATGACATGATCTTGCCGGTCATGCTTCCCACCACCAGGGGCTGTGAATCCCATGCCTCTCTATAGCACTATGGAATGCTATTACCTGGAAAGACTAAAAAGTGCTAACCAAATACACAAAAATGTTGTCTAACATTGTGTAATAGAAATTTTAGCTATGTTAAACGTCATGGTTACTGCCAATTACTGTCTTTTTTATACCACTTTTGCGGTGTAGGCACAGGGGTCTTTGAGCCTGAGTATTTACGGCCGCATGGCTAGTGCTGTCGCCACAACTGTGCAGGTGAGGATTTTATTTTGCCCCCGACAGAAAAAATCCCCAGCCTTGCCGAGGATTCGAACCCAGGTCTCCTGCTTGAGAGCCCAGTGTTCTAACCGTTTGGCCAGCCACTCCCCAACGTCATGGTTACCTGAAGAAAATGGTTTTGGAGCGTACAGTTTCCAGAAAACGAAGCAGAGGCTAGCCTCCATAAAGGTGGATACAAGACGTAAAAGATGCATTAGCTATGAAAGCACACAGGGCTGGCGAATCTGTTAGAGAAAGAGAGGCTTTCAGCTATTCAGTAACGAGAGCAACATTCTGAAGAGGACCTGCTGACTGACGATGAGTAGACATTTGCAGTTCTTTAGTCACGTAATGAGAAGAGAGACATTGGAGAACATCGTGACAACTGGAAAGGTAAGTGGGAAAAGGGGGTAGAGGCAGACCAAGAGATTGGATGCTGGATGGGCTGAAACGATGACATGGAGCGATATCATCAAGAGAGCTGTCCCAGGCAACCAGTAATCATGATCTGTGGAGACGCATGAGCGCCTATGCCAGTTGGCAAGGCACATAATGATGATGAGTAGACATCTGCAGAGAAAAACCAATTGAATTTCTTTTTTTTAGTCAGAATGCAACACTGAATATCAAATGATTATCCTGATCATGAACCTCAAAGATGGACTGAGCTGTACAGTGTCAGTCCTCCTTTAGATATAAGCTGATGACTCTTTTGACAGAAGATTCCCAGAAATTGTCCCAGTTTTTCTGTGATGTGAGTAGCCTCTCTTTCATCTCTTCTATTTCTTGGAGATTACTTTCAAAATATTTCTTGTAATCCTGGGAAGAAACAGTCATTACAATCAATGCACACTGGCTTAACTATCTGTAATTATTTAAATGCAACATAATAACAAAACATTATGTCTCATTGTAACAAAAATAACTGTCTGTGACATATCTCTGAGTCTGGGAAAGGTCAAAGAGCATTCTTCGTCTTCTTTGTTCACCAGCTGTAAGCTCTGGTTGCTCGTCCAAATTTTGTGCCAAAGCCTGAGTTATGCGTGTACATTGGTTTTACTGTCTAATTTGTGTGCAGGTGGTTGTTCTTTGCAGCTCGGGCAGATCCACTCCGACTTTGACATGCTTATTTGGGAGGCATTGGGTCTATTCTTGTTTTCTCCACAATGGGACCGTGGAACCCATACAGGGATAAGAGAATAAAAAATGTGATGAAAACTGAGGTGAATGCATTCTGTTACTGTTGTGTGTCAAGAAAAGCTTCTGCTGAAACATTCAATTTATCCTTTGTGGGTACGATGTTCCCTTACCTTGTTCACTTACGTTGTTCTATCATGTTGTTCTCCTTCCCCCAGTTAATTAAGCTTCTTAGTCACAGATCAGGGCATTAGTTTCTTGTGTGAGAGAACACTGTATGGGAGAATGCTATATGGGAGAATACTATATGGGAGAATACTGTATGGGAGCAAACTATATGGAAGAATACTGTCTGGAAGAACACTGTATGGGAGAACACTGAATGGGAGAACACTGTAGGGAGAATACTGTATGAGAGAATACTGTATAGGAGAAAACTGTATGGGAGAATACTGTATGGAATAATACTGTATAGAAGAATACTGTATGAAAGAATACTGTATAGGAGAATACTGTATGAGAGAATACTAAATGGGAAAATACTGTATGGGAAAAGACTGAATGGGAGCATAGTGTATAGAAGAATACAGTGTTGGAATGGCTGGTATTATTCTCCTCATTGAGACTCTTTACTAGGTGCTTTAGCTTTTTACCATCTTTCTCCATGTTGAGAGCTGCAGTCTTTTCCTGCCATCTTGTCCGGATGAATGTGAGTTTTTCTCTTTTATAAATAGCCTGATGTTTTTTGCCTTCTGTTACGTTGAGGTCAGAGGGATCTTGTTCCATTTTTACTCTTGCTTCAGTGCTTCTTTGGTGCAGTTGTTGCAGTTCTTGGGTACAGAAGAATTCTTAGTTTTGCCTTCGATCTCGGGGGATAGATTTTTGTGCTCTTCGAGTATGATACTGGTAAGAGTTGTGTTTTTCTAACCTCATTAGTGGTAATGGGCTCCGATAACTTTTTTCAGTTAGGTTTTTGTAGAGTTCCCAGTCTGCTTTCTTGTAGTTCCAGAAGGCCATCTTCTTCCATTTTTCTGGTGGCTCGACCTCTCCTATCATGATGACAACTGGTTTGTGATCACATTCTCCCAGTTATTGTATCCCTTCTCTGTCTGACCTTCATTATATGTTTTCAGTAGCTATAGCTGGGTCTGGTCTACTTTGTGTTCGTCATCGCCTAGAATAAAAGGTTAGTTCAGAGTGAGGTTCACTGATTAGTATCAGCAGGTTTTCTACCATCCATTCCTCTGCCAACTAGGGGGATGACTGTCATGAAGTCACAGAGAATTAGGTGGCTCTTATTAGCTGGGATGTCCTCTATTTCCAATTTCTTGTTGTTAGGACAGTAAAAGTTAGTCAAGTATAGCGGCTCTGAAAGGATATGCAGTTTTACAGTCAAATGTTCAGACTCTCTGATGCTTCTGGAAGTTTCTGTGGCTGCGGTAGTATTTTTAACTAATGTAATGACGCCTCCTTTGTGGCCATCTCTGTCTAGCCTATATGTTTTATAACCTCTGACAGAAAAGCAAAAGCTTATTTAAATGGGTTTCCTGAATGCAGACAACATCAATTTTGTGTTCATAGATGAATTTTTGCAGTTCAATTTTTTTCATCATGACCCCTTCTGCATTCCACTGCATTATATTTAGTGTTTTGATATTTTTTTACCAGACGCATTACTCTGCTTAATCCTGGTCCACTGATGCAAGGAGCTACCATTAGTAGTTTGGGGTGGATCTCTCCGAGGCTTGGAATCCGGCGTTGTTCCCGCCTGGCAGTAGTCCACAGGAGCAGCCCCCATAATGGTGTTGGTATATAAGCATACTCGTTACCCGTAGATTGCATTGATGTCCGTTTCCATTTCTGGGTGCCCACGCCATTCAGGCCAACATGTCCTCTCAGTGGGAGAAGTCTCCCTATCCATGTCCTGGTTCATCAAAACACTGCCTGCCAGGAATCAGAGGTTGTAGGACTTTCCCTTCACCTGTGATTATCTAGGGTGGGCTCCCTGGGTGTGACCTTGGTGGGAATCGGGACATGTCCATGCGTCAGTGGGCCCAGCATCGAATATAAGAATAAGAATATAAATACTGGTGATAGGTAAACTAATGGAAACCATAAAATAAAATCACACAAAAGAAATAAAACAAAGTGAATTAATCTAGAGACAATTTTAACTTCAGACTGAATAATAGATAGAGAAATAAACAAAGACAGGTAAGGGAAAACTACTGACAACACTTCTAAAATATAGAAAGATGCCTGTTCCCATTGAATGTCAATGTTTTTGTTTTATCTTCTTGATCCATGACAAATTTTGAAAGCATGCATCTTCCCTGCAGCAACATATGGATGTTAGTCGTGGACTATCTCACAAACTTAAGGAAGAAACTAAGGGCTTTTGAGCTGAAATGCTGTAGAATGTTTTTCAGAAAACTGGCATCCTAAAAGATCAGAACATTAAGGAAGACTGGCTAGCAAACATTATCTTGTCTCTGAAGCTCAAATATTTTGGTGCAATGGCAGATTTAAACAAAATTATTAGCAGCAGACATAGTACCAGGAAGTAGGGGCAGAAACTAACCAGCATGAAGATGGGCACAGGAAATAAGTGACTCGTTGAATATATAAGTACATGAGGCTGGAAAGCTGGCGAGTGATTACATTTCTTTCAGGGGGACAGTGTTGAGAGTGACGTTTTGCAACGGACTTGCTACATGATGGTATATGACAGTTTCAGAATATTTTCTTAAAAATTAAAATAGAAAAGTTCTGACTTTCTTTTCTTGTAATCATAACTTAAATTCCCACCATGACATACAAAAGTTGCTTCATTCTAATAACTGCAACATTCTTTTCAGCCAACCATAGTGGCATAAAAATAGGTTATGCATTTTGTTTTTTAAAGCTGTAAATGTATTTAGAACCAAAACATTAAATTAATTACAGCTTACTTCATAAGCTTTGATCCTGGCTTCTGCTGCGGCGGAATGAGCCAAAGTTGACTTGCAGGTCTGAACACTTGCAGTGATTTCCAGTGTACTTGGCTTCTCACCAATATAAAACTGGTTACTTGGAATCCCTACAGTGAAAATAAAACCAATCTAATACCACTGCCCTTGTTACGAATGCAACAATATTTCAATGCAATTAATTGCAACTTTAAAAAAGCTTCAATAATAAACTTTTCCAAGATATAAGCATTAATCAATGCATAAAGGTTGCTGTATATTTACATGCATTGAAAAAATCTTGCAATTGCTGTTATGTGTAGAGATGATGGATTGAGACTGGGTACATACAAAAGTAAATAGCTGCTACGTGCACTGTACTAATGTTACCTAGTTACATATTTCACTCTCTCTGAAAAGAATTTTGTCCAGTAACCTAATGAAAAGCTCTTGTCAGGGATTTTTAAATAGAAAAAGTGCTTGTACCCGCCACAGTTTCTAAATAAAGGTACTGGCACTCACCACAAAGAGGCATTACAGTAGCTCTGAAATAAAAAACTTTAAAAAAAACATAAGTGCCGGTACTGTTTAACATTGTGTAACAATGGGGAAACCCGACTGCGGCGATGTTGAAACCTCGACTGACTGACTGACTAATTGAGTTTACCAAGAGAAAACAGTCCTGACTCTTGTATATTTTTTCTGGTATCAAATCAGAACAATGCCTCGAAGCCAGTACTATTGCACTTCTATTCCCATTACCACCAAGGGGTCCATGACATGGAGGAGACAGCCATCAAATCTAGCCACTCAAGTGACAGTGTCCACAAGTCTCTTGAAAACTGCTTTATTTCCACTTTGGGCACTTTAACACCTAGAGGACTGAACTGCCAGCAAAGATTCTTCTAAAATCTTAGGGGATTGAACTGCCCACACAGTTTTATCTAAAACCCTCCAGCTGCAACATTCATATTTTGTTTGTGTTCATTATATTGTGAAGTTTGCTGAAACACTTTTTGTTCTGTTTTTATATCTTTTCTTGGTATCAAATTAGCACTAGCGTCGTATCTCTTCAGTCTTTTTTATCATTTGATATTTTGATGAAGCTTGTCCTTTCCCATCTCATTTCACAACAAGCTGCGCCTATAGGGTACCAGGTAACAAAGGCTACAATTTTACTATCGACAGAAATATTGAAAATAAGTGTAAAGTTGCACCAAAAAAAAATTTGAAACATTAAATATGTTTAACTCTCTCGATCTCAAAATGTTGTTAATTTAACCCCTTTTATTCCAAGGAGTTAAGCTAAAAAGTAGTAAATACTCAGGTTAGGTATGAGGGCTTTCAAGAAAAAAGCTATGAGACAGAAGTATTTAAACTAATAATTCAGATACAAAGGGTTATTTTAACAACTGTATGTGATGGAAGACAGCCGAAACATTATATTATCTTTGATCCTGGTGTGGGTTCCAGGGCCCATTTGTGAGGAAAACATCAACAGATCCACTGCCTCCTCAACAAGCATGTCATAAGAGTCAACTAGCTGGGGGCTTTCTTGGAGGTTGGAGTGCATCTGCATGACATGCACATAACCATCAGTCTGCATACACAGCATAAAAGATATGTAAAAAAGATGTGTACACTCAGGTTCTGGAACAAGACTAAAGTCCAGAGGTGGACAAACCACCAGAACTTTCTGCTGGAGTTTACAGCCCATGAATGCGAAGAAGAAAATATTAACTTTAGTATGGTAAATGAACATAAGTCGTGGTAAGTTTGGTATTAAAGGACTTAAAATATCTGTACTATACTTCTTATTTTTCAGGTTCACCAGCTGTAACCTCCTGCAGAAAGATCTGGTTGTTTTTCAGCTTTTGAACTCAACTCCTGTTCCAGTTCTGAGTGTTTCTGAGTGTTGTTTCACAGATCTGAATCATCTGTATGCACACTGCTGGTTCCTGGCCTCTCAGGCAGATGCACTCTGACTTCAAAAGTAGCTCCCAATTTGTGGCCTCTTACTACATGCTTTTGGGTAGGTAGTAGGTCTAATCTTGTTTTTCCTGCAATGGGGCGGTGCTGGAAACCACACGAGGAATTTGCAGTACTCAGAATTCACAATTTCTTTGCTTGACATATTTTACTGTATCTACATTCTGTTGTTGTGTCTTCTGTGTTCATATTTACAATAGAGAAACACTGCTTTGATTCAAAACAACTTCTGTAGCCTCTCTTGTGGGTTCCGAAGTTCCTATGGCGGGGGGGGGGGGGGGGGGGGGGGGGGCGGCTGGGCGGGGGGGGGGCGGCTCTGTCCCCATCTTCAGTAGGTCTGTCTTTTCCCTGAGAGTTTAATGTCGGCCAGATCATCTGACCGCTCCTCACAGCACTATTCCTCTCAAGCAAGGATGATCCATCTATGCCACCGCATTGTTCTCTCGCCCCCTAAGTGCCCTTACAACATCTAGCTTGTCAAGCACCAAGCTTGTCGTAAATGGCAATTAATTATGGACTTGCCGAAATCGGACGTTTTGGGCAGAAAAGTGCAGATAAAGCAGCCTATCTGTAAACCCCAATACAATATGCCTGCAACCCTTTGAAACTAGGAAGGCTAACCTGGAAAATAAATGCCTGATGAAGTCAGATGTGTCGGTCAAAAAGTACATATAACACAGTTATGGAACTGGCACAAAGCAATTATGTGACTCTTATGAACAACGAAGAAGAAGAAGAATAAGAACCGCCCTTTCAAGGATACATGAACAAGAAAGATTAACTTTAGTAGCACACTTACCAGTCCACATTGCTTTGTGTATTTGTGAAACATCATCCAGCTTGCTTGTCTCCATCTTTTTATCTGACCCCTTGCCAGATTTCATGTGTCTGATCAACTCATATGTAGTCTGAGACTTTGGCACAACTTCTAGAGTTTATTCATAAAAATAAAATAAACATTTTGGTTACAGTTAAATCAGTCAGGTACTATCTCCACGAATAAGGTTGGAGGCAATGGACATTCTCTCTCTCTCTCTTTCTCTCTCTCTCTCTCTCTCTTTCTCTCTCTGTCATTTTGATTGTAACTCTGTCAGATCGTTGTTCAACTATCTTTTGAAGTTTTCCTCCCATTTGGATTAATGTATATTTTTTCAGTATGTTACAACTATCGTGGACAATACATAGGGATCTTGAAACTTTTACCTTACAAACTCAAGTGGATCAGTCACAGTTACAATGGTTTGGAATGTATGCTGAATGAGAGCAAATCAACCACCATGGCAGACATGGAAGGCAAGAACTAGAGAACCAGACCACCAAGTGACCCAGGATTTACTGGGAGACAACATCCAACAGACCTGACTGACAGAGGACTGGAATGGAACAAAGCCAAAAAGAAAACTGCTGACAGAGAAGTCTGGCGATCTCTCAGGCAAACCTCTACACTCCAGGGTAGTAGAGGATTGATTAAGTAAGTACAACTAATATGATTCTTTTCTCCTTCTTCATCCTTCATTCCTCAAATGGAGCACAGGCTCTCAATCAACTTAAGCCAGATGTGCCAAGACAGGTTCCTAGTTGCTGTAGTCTTCTTCTTCTTCTTCTTCTTTTTCTTCTTCTTCTTCTTCTTCGATCCTTCTGTCTGAAAAACTTATATTAGGAGGCCGGTAGCCTTCATGAAAGCTATCGTGCAATCCATATCTTCTCGTATACCATACAGTTTTGTGTTCTTTGTGGTTGGAACAAGCCAGATTGTGTCTCTGTTGTCAACATACAGTAGACAGTGTTGGAGCATATGCTCAGCATTTGGTATCATCATCCTCATCAGTGTCCACTTCTGCTGTTAAGTGTTGTGGAGAGGAACAGTTTGCGATCCTCTGCTTGATGGGTAGCAATGGCCATTGTCATCCCATGTTGTTGCAGAAGCTCTTTAATGTCATCAGCCCATCTTCTCCTGGGATGACCTTTTGCATCAGATCTTTGCATGTGCAGAGCCTGAGTTGGTAGTTGTTCTGGCTGCATTCTAACGAGATGACCAAACCATTTGCTCTTCTGTTTCTCAATGAATTGTATGTATGCATGCTTGCTGGCATGCGTACATACATACATGTATACATTCATCCATGCATACATACACACATACACATACATACATACACATATACTTACACACACATGTATAAATACATACATACACACATGCATGTATACATACACACACCCACCAACCCACACACACACAACTAATCACACCGACCCACACACACCCACACACACAACCAATCACACCCACCCACCCACACACAAAACATAAATACATGCTTGTGAGAGTGAGAAAGAGGTGACAGACAGACAGACAGATAGACAGATATACAGACAGACAGACAGACAGACAGACAGACAGACAGACAGACAGACAGACAGACAGACAGACAGACAGACAGACAGACAGACAGACAGACAGACAGACAGACAGACAGGCAGGCAGGCAGACGGAGAGACAGACAGACAGACAGACAGACAGACAGACAGACAGACAGACAGACAGACAGACAGACAGACAGACAGACAGACAGACAGACAGACAGACAGGCAGGCAGGCAGGCAGGCAGACAGACAGACAGACAGGTATAGAAAGAGATAGTAAGACAGAGATAACCAAAGGTATACAGAGAGAGTTACACAGAGAGAGAGAGAGAGAGAGAGAGAGAGAGAGAGAGAGAGAGAGAGAGAGAGAGAGATACAGAGAATGATACAGAGTGAGCCAGAGAGAGACACACACAGAACTGCTTGGTAAGCTGCAGCATTTATTGTTGAGATGTGATTCCCATGTGCTCCCCATGTGATTCCCAAGTGCTCCCCATGTGCTCCCCATGTGAATCGCATGTGATCTCCATGTGATACGGGGGACCTATTGTGGGGAAAACAAGAAAATACCCGCGGCCTCCCCAATAAGCATGTCGTAAGAGCTGACTAACGGGGCATCCTTCAAAGTTGGAGTAGATCTGCCTGAGAGACAAGGAACCAAGAGTCTGCATACATATAAGCCAGATGTGTGAAATGGATGTGCACACAACACTCAGGTTTTGGAAGTACTAAATTCTGGAGGTGGAGGTGGAGAACTTTCTGCCGTAATTTACAGCCAAAGAAAATGAAGAAGTTGAGATGTGAGATGTAGGATAGAAAGACAGGGGTAGCACCTTGAGAATGGGGGACAGCCACATTCTTTGGGATGGTTCAGATTCATGGGCCCCATCTACTTGTGTCTGATCCTTGGCAATAGTCTTGGCAAATGTGGGTGAGTGAAAATCATCCAAAACAGACAAATATGTTCTGGAAGGCAATTCATTTAGACCAGTGGCTCTCAACCTTCCTAATGCTGCGACTCTTTAATACAGTTCCCTCATGTTGTGGCGACCCACAAACAATTATTTTCCTTTATACCTTCAATGAATATGTGTTTTCTGATGGTCTTAGGTGACCCATGTGAAAAATTTGTTCGACCCAAAAAAAAGGTCACGACCCACAGTTTGAGAACCACTGATCTAGGTGAAGGACACACTGAATACCAAACGACCTCTGCCTTGTGGAAGTTCCTGCCTGAACAAAGACAAGGTTAACAAAACCTGATAAAAAAACTATGGTAGAAACCCTGGAAAGAAATCTGCCTATGGGAGGAGAAGTCCTGAATATAAACCTTATTTTTTAAACAGTAATAGACACCATCATACTTGCTCTCAGTAATAATCAGTTTGGTACTTGTTCTCAGTAAGAAGCACTTACTGCAGTTCCCTAAGTACAATAAAATCCCATGTATAAGACACTCCTTCATTTTGGAAGCAGAATTTTTGAAAACAATAATATGATTAAATAAAGCTATTAAGCTCATGTTTTATTAATCATAGAATTTAGAAAACTCATTACTGTAAAAACTCTCATCCTTATGATTGTTCATTAGCCTGTCCTTCTCTGTGTCTGATGACAAATCACTGTCTTCATATATTGCCTGATTCTTACTTTCATCTGTGGTATTTGACATGCCACACTTCTTGAATGACTTGGCAATGATTTACTTATATTGTATGAGATGCACATTCTTTTTGAGACCCAATATATCTGGAAAATAAGTGTGTTTTGAAATCTGGAATGTTGAATTAAGAATCAACATCATAGCACTCGGTTTACTTCCATAAGCGTTCCGTGCCCATCTCCAGCAGCAAGTGAAGAGTTCCAATTCCGATGGTACCAATAACTGTCTAATTGTGTGATTGTACATCCGTCTCACCTTTCCCTTGAGCGTCGGCCAGATCTCTTAGTAACTCCCCGCAGCACCATTCTCCTCAGAGCCTAATGATCTAATAAATATCTTGGGGAAATACAGTTTGTACTTTCTATATCAATTTTATGTGAAGTCATCAATACTTAAGATACTCACTTCCTTGATCAGTTTCATCAATCACCAACAGGTTGTCAAACAGTTGCAGCTGTTGCTCCGATGTTTCTGTCAGTCTCTCTAAGAAAAGCTTGGCATTTTCCAGAGTACATTCCTGAAGAAAGATGTTACCAACAACAGGGTTAGTAGATGGGTAAATATAATCTCAGCCAGAAGTCTGGACATCGTTTCACTTACCCCAGCCTCAGGTGTTCTAGGAAACCAAAATAAAACTCCCTAACCTCTTCCTTATCATATTCCTTCTTCACTGTCTTTGTCTTGGACATGAAATTTTCTTCCATCAACATTTTCATCTTTTTCATTGTCATCTTCACAGTTATCTTCTTCTTTGCCGTCATCTTCACTGCAGTCTTCTTCATCATTATCTTCTTCATTCTCTTCTTCTTCATCATTGTCTTCTTCGTCCTCATCATCACCTTATTAATCTTCATCATCATCATCAGTGTCAGCATCATCATCATAATCATCTTCTTCTTCATCATCTTCAACATCATCTTGTCGGCAATGCCATCTTCTTTGTCACTGTCTCCTTCATCATCATCTCTTTGTCATCTCCTTCATCATCATCACCTTATCCATTATCATCTCCTTCATTGTCGCCTCCATTTAGGGCAATTTCCTTCATAATCATTTCCTTAATTGCCACTAACATCATCATTACCAACATCACTTCAGAGGTCCTGGGTAGTTAGCATCCTTTGTATATTTTCTCCATGCTGGTGTGTTGGGAAATGAGCAGGCAGATAGACTGGCCCAACACTCGACACTCAGGGGAAAAGCAAGACAGATATACAATCAGAGAGTTACTGGTACCATCAGAATTTTAACTCTTTGCTTGCTGCTGAAGATGGGGATGGAGCGCTTATGGGTGTGTCCTGAGTGCTGTGATGTCCATTCTTAATTCAACATTCAACCTCATTACCACCATCTTTTTTTCTTCTTCTTTGTTGCTGCTGTCTAGTTGTCTAGCTAGCAGTCATTCTTTTTCTCCTCTTCTTTCTATGAAACAGTTTATGACTGAGATTACTAAAATAATCAGGTTTATTTTCAGAACTCCTCCTCCCATAATCAGACTGCCTTTCAGGACTAATGAGCTTTGCCTACCCCTATTTTCTGTCAGGCTTTGTGGCTCTAGTCTTTGTTAGTGCTGGAGTTTCCTCAAGGCCATGATGGTTTGCCAATTCACACATGTTGATTTATTTACTATAGTGTTTCTATGGCCTCCAGCTTCCTTGCCTGTTTCTGTGTTTTGTGTACAACACAACTGAACTGACTAGCCAAATCTCTTCTTTAAATGCCCATTGCATGCTAGCATGAGAGAGGACAAAGGTGCTGGACTGGGTTCCATCCATGATATTGAGTTGATTGCACAAGATACAACAGAATAGAGGAATAAACTGTGAGCCCTATGTGACATAAAATAGCACAACAGGACAATGCTGATGTAAACTAGACAAATCATTACAACCTGACATGTTTGTTCCTGTGGTAACTGCATGCTGGAATTATGTTCTACCTCCCATAGAAAAGATATACAAACCTGTCTGTCTTGGACATGCTGCATCACTAGCTCTGTGTACTCATCCAGCCATTTCTTTTCCTTAGAACACAATTCAGCCAGATCATTAGCCCGCTGAGGGTGCCCCAAAGTTGGGCGAAGTTCATTTTCCAGAAATTTCTAGAAAACAATTTGAAGTAATTAATTAATTAAAGATTATTTTTACTGGATGTGGTAAATTAAAACAAAATGGATATGCAGCTGTTGTTATGCATTTTGAGGCTATTAACCTTTGGATCCTAACCATACCAGTCCATGGCAACAGCACTAGACAGGCGGAACTAAATCCTCAGGTTCAAGGCCTTCCTGTCTACACCACCCTAAAATGTAGTAAAACAGACACTAGTGACAGTTTTAACATTTAAATTATGCAACTAAGATGTCAATAGGTATTTGAGCCTTCCATCTAGAGATGGAATCTGACACTGACATCTCTTACAAATCCCCAGGGGGGGGGGGGGACACTTTTCTGCATTGGCCTGTCCCCAACAAGTCAATGGTATTGGTTCTGTCTGCACCTGTGCAGTTTTAAGGAGGGTCGGATATGATTATATTTACTAAGAATAATATTTGGGTAGCGGGGGTGAGTTATTCTGCTAAAAGAAGTTTTTTTAAACCCATATGGCCCAGTCTTTCTTCACAGAGTGGTTGTCACCCACTGGGAGGGTCACACTAAGCAATTCGTATCCTACATGTGCCTTATAAGGATGGTTGGCATGTTGTGTGTTGTGGTTTACAGCTAGGCTGTGATATCTGCACCTTTTAGCCCAACACATCCAATTTCTGCAACTCCTTAATTAGATACCTTTTACTCATTCTGCATGTTCCTGTACCCCGTTTGGGGGTGTGGGGGGGGGGGAGACCACACACATACACACATACACACACACATACACACACGAAAAGATACATCCATTGCCTCTAACCTCTTTTAGTACCAGAAGGTTTCGCAGGAGTTACCAAAGTGAAAAAAATTACCATGATGGAAATGCAAGCGGCAATACCTACAGTAGTAATTATAAATCACACATAAAAAACTCCACAGAATTTCAGCAAACACTGAAAACTAAAGGCTCAACTATATCAAGTAAACATCTTTGAGATGAGATGCCTGAAGAAAGTTGCAGACTTAAACCATCAAAGACCAAGTAAGAAATTATACTTTTAGACAGATTGTGGGTCCAACTTTTTGCACCAGATTACTGCAAAAGGAGATAGAATGGTTTGGTCATCTTGTCAGAATACAGCCACAACAACTAGCAACACAGGCGCTACACTTAAAAATATATAATATGAAAGCAAGAAAAATATATAATATAAAAGTACTAGAAGATAGACAGATGACATTTAAGGCTTATATATTCCAACAGAATGACAATGACGAGTGCTACCCATCAAGCAATGAACCGTAAACTGTTCCTCCCCACAACACTAGATGGTAAAAGGGTAAGAGTTGATGATGATGATGCTGTTAAGTAAACAGACCTGTGTCTCATTGAGACCAGACAGCTTTGCAAGAAATCCTTTAGTTAGTTTGACCTGCCTATCTTTTGCTTGTGTGATCTCATTTGTAACAAGATCAGCGATGATGATGGAAGGGATACTAGTGCATAGCTGTTCTAGCTGCGTCAGTTGTTCTTGGAAATCTGTTCACAAAATAAATGTGCATCTAATATTAATGAAAATAACACAATTGTATATAAAAATGGTTTATAAAAATAGTGCAAAAAAGGAAAAAAAAAACTATAACAGATTTGTGTTTCTGTTGTTTAAAACCATCAGAATTCAAGACTCAGAAATGTGTTTCTTGATACAATAAAGATGATAAAGTTGGGGCTGTTGGCCTTCAGCTTCAACCTACAACCTGGAGGACTAGGGTGTCTCTTTGGTGCTCTTTTCTTTGACCTTTCCAGCTTGGCAGGCCTTGCTGGTAGCTTTCTATTGCCGGCATAGCTCTTAGGATCATTGAGAAGTACACAGGTCCCTACCATGTCAAGTGTGAACCTCAAGGGTTCAGAATTTTGAAGAAGAATTCTAGAGTAGCTAGGCAGGAAAAGGTAAAGGACTCTTTCCATGCCAATTGTACATCAGGAATTTGATAGTCAACATATTTTTGTATAGACTCTTCTGTACTCAATGAGTGATGAGGCCAACATCAAACAGCAACCTTTACTTCCCAATAAATTACCTGGTATCCATTTTCAGCTGGGTCAAACTGGGCGCCAAAGTCATTAAAAAAAATTTTTTTTTAGGTCCGTAGATGAGGCCTAACCATATAATGTGAGTATTTTTGTGATGAATAATACATAAAAACAAGACATACAAGTATTTCCAAGATGGATACTACATGGACAAAGTTGTAACAATGATAAAATTCAAAGTATTTTCATGAAAGATATTACATTTATCATCATCATAATCCATCCAGCGTGACGCTGCCATTGCCAAGCATGGACACTTGTGAAAAGTCATGAGTACAAAATCAAAACAGTATAGATGAGATGTCTTAAAAATGAAGAACTAAAAGCTGTCTAGGACTGAAACCAGTTCGTTTAAGTGTAACATATGAGATGGTTCGGCCATCTGATGAGAATACTCTGGTACCAACTGTCATAGAGAGCCATGCTGATGAAATACAATGGGCACAGAGCAAGGCGAAGACCACAGAGTGGATGGAACAACAGCATCAAGAACCACCTTCAAGAAATGGAGACCAACCGATACAACACAGTGGAAAGAGCACAAAGAAGATGGTCACAACATCATCAAGAACCACCTTAAAGATATAGATACCAACTTAATCAACACAGTGGAAATACCACAGAGAAGATGCAGAGAAGATATATCTTTCCGTAACATTTTGATAAAATAACTGGAAAAATGAAGAAGAAGAATAAGAATGAGTTGGTTGAGGGTCACTGCTCCAATGTGGGTGATCGAAATGCAGAAGAAGAAATCGTGTATTCGTTATTTCTGGTGAACTCTGTAAATAAAAGCAATATATACATTATTGTCGGCTAAGTGGCTAACGCTTCGTAATGCCGGTGTTCCATGTTCGATCCCAGCTGCGAGCCATGCGCCTTGCGTTGGTTTCGAAAGTGGTATCACGGGGCTGACCGTCCAGAAAATAATGGCAAACTACTGGACATAAATGTGCCTAGAGAAACCACACAATAGCCAGGGGCTGTTGGGGTTGGTTCTGCAACGTCCTGTAAAGCATACGCAACTAACAAAAACATATACACAAATACCTTTCAAACACTGATTGTGGTAGACTTCCGCTTGAGAATAATACGACTGCAACTTGACAAACAGTATGTCTGCACACTGGTCACAAGTTTCTGGGATAGCTTGGGGCCGAGTAATTGGCCGCAATCCTTTCTGGTTATAATAGACCTAGAACAGAATGCAGTATTGGTAAACAGTGACATGTTATTCATTCTTCCTCTTCTTCTTTGGTTCACAGGCTGCAAACTTTGGCAGACAGTTCTAGTTGTCTGTCCACTTCTGGATCCTGGTTTTGTTCCAGGATGTGAGCATTGTGTGCACACAATTTTTACAGATATGGCGTAATTGCTTTCCCAGAACAGATCTAGTTTAACTTTTTTTGCAGACTGTTGTTTCCTGCCTGTTAGACAGATGCTCTCTGACTCTGACAGAGACATCGGTCCTATTTATGTTAACCAGCCTCCCAGAAAGTAACCTATTTCTATGACGACAGGGAGAGGTGTAAACAGATCTTGACCAGAATGAGCTCATGTCCTTGTGTGCTACCATGTGTGGTTTAGCTCCTCTGCATCAGTTAAGTACGATACATTGGGTATGATACACTGGGCATGATACACTGGGCATAATATATTGGGTATGATACACTGGGCATGATACACTGGGTATAATACATTGGGTATGATACACTGGGCATGATTCACTGGGTATAATATATTGGGTATGATACACTGGGCATGATTCACTGGGTATAATATATTGGGTATGATACTCTGGGCGTGATTCACTGGGTATAATATATTGGGTATGATACACTAGGCATGATTCACTGGGTATAATATATTGGGTATGATACAGTGGGCATGATTCACTGGGTATAATATATTGGGTATGATACAGTGGGCATGATTCACTGGGTATAATATATTGGGTATGATACACTGGGTATGATTCACTGGGTATAATATATTGGGTATGATACACTGGGCATGATTCACTGGGTATAATATATTGGGTATGATACAGTGGGTATGATTCACTGGGTATAATATATTGGGTATGATACACTGGGCATGATTCACTGGGTATAATATATTGGGTATGATACAGTGGGTTTGTTATTTTGGGTATGATACACTGTGTATGATACATTGGGTATGATAATTATGTATGACCCACTGGGTGTGATATGTTGGGTATTAAACACTGGGCATGATACAATGAGTATGAAACAGTAGGTATGATACATTAGCTATGAAACAATGGATATGATACGTTAGGTATGTTACAGTGGGTATGCTACATTATGTATGATGCATTGTAAATGATACATTAGGTATGATACAGTGTGTTTGATACAGTGGGTATGATATATTGGGTTTGATACATCATGTGTGATACATTAGGTATGATATATTGGTTATGATACAGTGTGTATGATACATTATGTATGGTACAGCTGGTATGATTCATTACATAGGATACATTAGGTGTGATACATTAGGTATGATACATTAGGTGTCATACACTAGGGGGGATACATTAGGTATTTTACATTATGTTTGATACATTAGGTATGATAATCAGCTATGATACATTAGGTATGATACATCAGGTGTGACACATTAGGTGTGATACATTAGGTATGATACATTAGGTGTGTTAAATTAGGTGTGTTACATTAGGTGTGATTCATTAAGTGTGATACATTAGGTATGATACATCAGGAATGATACATCAGGTGTGATACATTAGGTGTGATACATTATGTTTGATACATTAAGTATGATACATTAGGTATGATACATTAGGTATGATACATAAGGTATGGTACATCAGGTATCATAAGCCAGGTATGATACATCAGGTATGATACACTAGGTATGATACATTCGGCATGATACATTAGGTATGATAATTAGGTACAATACATTAGGTATGATACATCAGGTATGATACATTAGGTATGATACATTAGGCAAGATAATTAGGTATGATACATTAGGTATGATACATGAGGTACAATACATTAGGTATGATACATAGGGTATGATACATTAGGTAAGATAATTAGGTATGATACATTAGCTATGATACATGAGGTACAATACATTAGGTATGATACATAAGGTATGATACATTAGGTATGATACATTAGTATGATCCATAAGGTAGATACATTAGGTGTGATACATTAGGTGTGATACATTAGGTACAATACATTAGGTGTAATAAATTAGGTATGAGACATAAGGTACAATACACTAGGTATGATATATTAGGTACAATACATTAGGTATGATACATTAGGTGCAATACACTAGGTATGATACAATAGGTATGATACATTAGGTCTGATACATTAGGTCTGATACAATAGGCACGATACATTAGGTATGATACATTAGGTATGATACATGAGGTATGATACTATAATACTAAACATTTTTTCTTTAGTTTAATATGTATAAACAAAATATTTTTGTAAACTACATATATAAAAAAAAAATTACAAGGAAGTTATGTTTTTTGATACTTTAAAAAAAAAAAACTGTTTATATTAAAATTAAGTTGTGTATCCTTTACAGGACATTGCAGAACCAACCCCAGCACTTTCTGACTGTTGTGGTTTTTCTAGGCAAATTTACGTCCAGTAGTTTGCCATTGCTTTCTGGATGGTCAGCTCTTGGTACCACAGTCAAAACCATCGCAAGACTAACCATCCGTAGCAGGGATCGAACTTGGCACCCCGGCATTACAAAGCGCGTTCACAACGCCTAAGCCACATAAACTGTTTATACATACTAAATGAATGTCAGGTGATAGAGAGGTAAAAACTGTATACACAAGGGAGATGAATGGTCATAAACCACAAGGCAGACCAAGAAGACGATGGAGAGATAATGTCCAGACAGACCTGCAAACACTTGGCGTCACCTACTGAAAAGAGAAGGCCACCAGAGAAATGAACGGAGGTGGGTGATATCTGTGGCAATGAACCTCAAGGGCTCAGAATGCTGAAGAAGAAAAAGAAGATATATATATTATTTATGTGCATTTTCTTCTTAAAGCTTTCCTTTATACAGTGGTGTGGAAGCAGCGGGTAGTTTCGATGCTGTGGAAGCAGCGGGTAGTTTGGGTGCTGTGTAAGCAGCCGGTAGTTTGGGTGCTGTGGAAGCAGCGGGTAGTTTGGGTGCTGTGTAAGCAGCCGGTAGTTTGGGTGCTGTGTAAGTAGCCGGTAGTTTGGGTGCTGTGTAAGCAGCGGGTAGTTTGGGTGCTGTGTAAGCAGCGGGTAGTTTGGATGCTGTGTAAGCAGCCGGTAGTTTGGGTGCTGTGTAAGCAGCCGGTAGTTTGGGTGCTGTGTAAGCAGCCGGTAGTTTGGGTGCTGTGTAAGCAGCCGGTAGTTTGGATGCTGTGTAAGCAGCCGGTAGTTTGGGTGCTGTGTAAGCAGAGGGTAGTTTGGGTGCTGTGTAAGCAGAGGGTAGTTTGGGTGCTGTGTAAGCAGCCGGTAGTTTGGGTGCTGTGTAAGCAGCGGGTAGTTTGGGTGCTGTGTAAGCAGCCGGTAGTTTGGGTGCTGTGTAAGCAGCGGGTAGTTTGGGTGCTGTGTAAGCAGCAGGTAGTTTGGGTGCTGAGTAAGCAGCAGGTAGTTTGGATGCTGTGGAAGCAGCGGGTAGTTTGGATGCTGTGGAAGCAGAGGGTAGTTTGGATGCTGTGGAAGCAGCGGGTAGTTTGGATGCTGTGGAAGCAGCGGGTAGTTTGGATGCTGTGGAAGCAGCGGGTAGTTTGGATGCTGTGGAAGCAGCGGGTAGTTTGGATGCTGTGGAAGCAGCGGGTAGTTTGGATGCTGTGGAAGCAGCCGGTAGTTTGGATGCTGTGGAAGCAGCCGGTAGTTTTGATGCTGTGGAAGCAGCCGGTAGTTTTGATGCTGTGGAAGCAGCCGGTAGTTTGGATGCTGTGGAAGCAGCCGGTAGTTTGGATGCTGTGGAAGCAGCGGGTAGTTTGGGTGCTGTGTAAGCAGCCGGTAGTTTGGGTGCTGTGGAAGCAGCCGGTAGTTTGGGTGCTGTGTAAGCAGCCGGTAGTTTGGGTGCTGTGTAAGCAGCGGGTAGTTTGGGTGCTGTGGAAGCAGCCGGTAGTTTGGATGCTGTGGAAGCAGCCGGTAGTTTGGATGCTGTGGAAGCAGCCGGTAGTTTGGATGCTGTGGAAGCAGCCGGTAGTTTGGGTGCTGTGTAAGCAGCCGGTAGTTTGGGTGCTGTGGAAGCAGCGGGTAGTTTGGATGCTGTGGAAGCAGCAGGTAGTTTGGGTGCTGTGGAAGCAGCGGGTAGTTTGGGTGCTGTGGAAGCAGCGGGTAGTTTGGATGCTGTGGAAGCAGCCGGTTGTGCTTGAGATTTTTCTTTTTGTTCTCTTCATTTTTAATCAAATGCTTCTTTTCCACGCTTTCAGGCGTATTGGAAATATAGGGACAGACCTATAATTTTATAGACCAATCTGCACTTTGTGGGTGATGTGGTCAGCATCACGCCGGCTGCCTTTACTTCCCAGGACTGTACCTGGTACCCACTCAAGGCTGGGTCAAACTGGCAGCCAAGGTCATTTTTGAAAAAAAAAGTCTGGCTTTTGTCAGGAACCGAACCCATGACATGCTGACCCACAGGCGAGTGCCTAGCTGTTAAACCACAGCAGCTTCCCAATCAAGGAGAATGCCACGTGTAAAAAAAAAAGTTAAAAACCACTTTATTAAATGGTGCACGCCCGGCTCTCTAGCGTAGTTGGCTAAACCAGATTGCGCGGAGACCGGGTGACGAACTCCTTGTGGTCCGGGTTCAATCCGGGGGTAGGCAGGAAAGCCACATTTCTCCCAGATTTACAATGGAATCAAGGCCGAAAGGTTGTGATATCCATAATACCGAGCCTAACGGTTAACAACTCATGGCTTCTGGATACTAAAACAGACAAACAAACATTAAATGGTGCACAGAACCTTGTCCATACCTCAGCTGTTGTCACCAGTCCTTCTAAAGATTCCTTAACTGTGCTCCAGATAATTTGCAAGAAGAATTTACTCCCATTGTCTTCGTCACGGAGGCTTTCCATTTCTCCGGAAAAAAATTTCTTGTCAAATCTGCCTGACTTGCTGAATTGTAAGAAAACAGAAAGCCAATCATGAGTTAATATGTCACTGCTGCGCACGTAAAAATTCCTTTGCAGCTGTAAATTGAAAAGAGTAGCCTAACGGCACTGCCCGGGTAAAATTTGGAGTTAAAACCCTTCCCAAAATATTTCAGGATCCTCGCCGGTGCTACAGAGCCCGTGCACTGCGCTGAGCTACTTCAGACTCAGACTTGAGTTAAAAGTAGAACGGAGCACTTATGGGTTACTACCCGTGTGCCATGATGTTGATCAGGTGTTCAAACCTTAAACCTCATGTGATAAACAGAAATGAAGTGTAGTAAAAATCCCGTTAACATGAATTAACTTTAGAAGAACATTCGGTTAAAACGATCAAAATGTTGGTCTCCACAGCAATATACAAGGGGACTTCAAATGAAAACCTTACAAGTGTAACAGAAATTACAGTAAGCTAGACCATTGTCTTGTAACCTGTCAGTTTATTGGTGGAATCAATGGATCATCATCATGGCACACTGATAGTAACCTATAAGTGCTCCGTTCTACTTCTAACTCAAGTCTGAGTCCGAAGAATCTCAACGCAGTGCACAAACTCTGTTGCACAGGCAAGAATCCTGAAATACTTTTGGTAATTTTTAGCTCCAAATTTTTCCTGAGCAGCGCAGCTAGGCTACTCTTTTTTGATTTTCAAATGCTAAACGATTTTTTTAAAAATATGTGCAACAATACACACAGGCGTCTGGTCTTACTACCCAGAGACCAGGGAAAATTAATAGAAGTCCATGTGAAAATATCCCAGCCTTCACCGGGGACTGAACCTGGGATCTCCGCACTCAGGGCAGACACCATACCTTGAGACCACTCAGACCCCCAGAAATTAACAATAACCATACCATTGTTTTGTAAACTGTCAGTGTTGTTGTTAAGTGTGTCAAGACTGTTAAGCTTATGACATCACTGTACAAAGAAACACAGTGACATCATACTGACAGTTTAAAGATGGCCACCCCACTTTTGACACGCACGAAAGAGGAGAAGTATTCTGTGATCTCTTTTCTTTTTTTTTTTAATCCGTGAAGGAGTGAAACCTAAAGAAATTCATTTGTATTATTAAGAGTCCTCAGTTAGAATAAATTCTTTTAACACAAACTCTTAATTTTTCTGTACCTTGCAATTGGTAGTAACAATGTTTTACTGTATTTTCTTCTGAGAAAAAGAATACATAAAAAGTTATTTGCAAATCCGCTTCAGGACATTAGAAACCTACCCCAGTATTCACTAGCTGCTTGATTTTTTTTACCAGACAATGTTTCATTCAGTATTATACCTTTGGGTCTGAACGGTCAGTACCATTCCCAAAATCAACAATAAGGAAGGCAGTCTGTGTCCAAACTTCCTACCTCTTACTTAACTCTGGTATGCCAGGATTGTAAAACTCTGCTCACAAACTTTTAATCCCAGATGCTGACATAAAACAAGAAAATATATGTCCTGTGACAGTGTCATTTACAGGATATCTAGAAAAAGGTGTACTTCTGCTGTTATCTAAATCTTCTACTTTTTCTGCATTTGCCTTTAAAAGGGACTCTTTCAGCTAGGCTGCTAAATGTGCACCTTTGTGGCCAACACACTCAATTTCAGCATAATCTTAAACAGACACATTTTAGAACATGCTTCTTATTTATTTTTATCCTCCACAACGGGATTTAAAGAAAAACAAAAGCTGCACCAATGCCATCACTGCATGAGGTAGCAAAAGAAAAAAGTAAACATAATTATCAAAAGATTTTAAACACAATTTCTTATTCATAAAGATATTCTAAAAAAGTAACCAATCAACTGACTGACTGACTTTCTACCCCACCAGGACATCACACATGCGATAAACACCTGATGACACAATGTGCCACCATGTGAGTGAGGATCACCTGATAAAATGCAGTTAAACTTTCAAGTAAAAGGATAGGTAACAGTGGTAAAGAGAGAGATGATGGAAAGTGGAGTGGGTGGGAAAGGTACCAAGGAGAGTGAAAATGGACCCTGGTTGGGAGGCTTGGTGGGTGCCTAAGGGACCCTGAGGAAGGGAGAAGGTGGGATGGGGACCTGGAAGGGAGGGGCAGGGATGGGGACCTGAGGGGGGAAGAGAGTGGGCATGGGTGGGGAGAGGGTGGGAACCTGGGAGAGGGGGAAGGGAGAGGGTGGGAACCTGGGGGAAGGGAGAGGGTGGGAATCTGGGGGAAGGGTGGGGTGGAATGGGGAAAGGGTGGGATGGGGGAGCGGGGTACCTGGGGGAGGAGGGAAGGGTTGATAGGGGAGATGGGAAATGAAGCTGAGGAATGGCTGGAGGATGAGGGGTAGAGATAGATCACAGTTTTTACAAGTTTTTCCTGGAATACTACTTATGACCTATTTTTTTCCCAATGGAAAAAGAGTTGAGTTTCTGTAAAACTGAAGCCTTGTGCTGGCAGTTAGCCTGACAACTTCAGAGGAAGATACCATAACCTGCAACAAGTAAGGTTAGTCTCCCCAGGCCCCGCCAGTTTACATACTAGCTCACTTCTGATTAGTAGTTCCTGAGCCTGTCAAAGCACAAGGTTACGGGGGTGTTCCATGATACCGTTCATATTGCATGTTGTATATTTTAGCATGCCAGCACTTTAAACGCTTAAAAGACATGGAGAAACTGGTCCTAAACACAAATCCCCTTAGAGTGCTGTAACCTATGTCACAGGTGTCACAGGTATTCTCTTATTGGAATGAAAATGTAAATGCAAGACATCACAGAAAGCAAACATGCTTCTTATTTATTTACACAGCGGATTTAAAGAAAACAAAAGCTGTACCAATGCCATCACTGCATGAGGACATGTGGGTGTCTAAGCAGCTAGGCTAGCTGGTAGGTGATGTCTGATGAAGTGGAATTTATAATGTCACAAGGTGAAGAGGTTAAAGTGATATTAGTTGGGGGGGGGGGGGGGGAGAAGGGGTTTATGTGGCACATGTACTGGGAGGGACAGATGAAGACAATCACACTTGAACAAAGCTAGAGCCGCTTTTGGAAGGAGGAGGCAAATCTGAAATTGCTGAATGCTGAAGAATGACAAAAAAAGGATGCGCATAAGCTATCCAGCTTCCACTACACATGTCTAGGTAGAATTATCAAAATTTGCTGGCCAGATACAATCTCAAATATTTAACTACTTCAAACCACAAAGCTGGTAGGGCAATGTCTGATGAAGTAGAAATTAGTAATGTATCTATGCATGCAGGAAGAAACATGGACAGAGATAATACTAGTCAATGCTGTATGAACTAGGTAGACTGGTGGATAATGACAAGTCTCTGACACTAATGATGTGACCTGAGGGTAAAACCTGGTAAAGGGGGTTATGAAGTTAAGTGTCAAGTTCCAGAAGTAATGTCTGAGTTTGAAACACTATAAGTAGAAAGGATGATAAAAACAGCTAAAAACAGATAGGGACACTTGGTTATTAACTCTTTCAGTCCCATAAGGTTTAGCATCAGAGGCCCAAGTAGTAGTAAAGAGAGACGTAAAAGTGGCACATCTTGAGTTCACTGGGTTCCTAAGTAAGAACTTATGAACATCTGTTGTGTTCCTTGGGACTGAAAGAGTTAACCCTGGCAATAAATCCCAACTTCAGCCATTAAACTTAGCACAAGAAAAATAGTCCACAAATATAACCTAACCATAAGCTCCTTTTCCAAAAGGAGTTGGCTGAACAGCAGCCCATATTTTTTCATTACACAAGTCAGTCAACAAGTTAAAACAGCTCAAACAGGCAATAGCCAAAAACATGAGGGGAAGTCAATAAGTAAGTTACAAATGGTTATGGGATGGCAGGAAATTGTAGTTGGTGGTTTCTAAAAGTGTCATTAGGTGTCATTCGAACTTTCCGTCTCTGTTCGTTAGGTGGCGCTAGGTGTTGCATGCAAATTCACAACACAGAAACAAAATGGCGACTGTACTTATGGAGTGTACCCTTAAAGAACAACGTGCTGTTGTGCATTTTTTTTGGGGAGGTGGGTGGGTGGCAAATGGGAAAGGGGGGGGGGGGTGTGGACAAAAGGGCTACCTGCAAAGGACATTTATAAGGAAATGCTTCCTGTTTATGCTGACAAATGTTTATCCTGTAAAGCGGTGCCTAGCTGGGTTTTAAAAAAAAATTCTCAAGGACGCTCTAACATTGTTAGAGGTCTGATCTGGTCGTCCTGTGAAGATTGCAACAGACTCATCCGTGCAGTGGGTAGAGAAAACATAATCAGAGGTGACTGGCAAGTAAACGGTTGACTCTGTAGCAGCTGCAATAGGGTGCCCACATGGCTCAGAATACATGATTGATTGAAATTTAAGAAAGGTTGCTCATGCTGGGAACCCAGACAATTGATTTTTGAACACAAAATGAACAGATTACGCCTGTCCTTGCAGCATCTCTGTTGAATGCAGATGAAAGATAACACATGCTGAACAGGATTATTACTGGAGATGAATCATGGGTGCATCACTACCAGCCCAAATTAAAGCGTTCTTTAATGCAAACATCCTTCTTTGCTTGGGGTGTTAAAAAATGCAAGCTTACGCTATCAGCAGGGAAGGTTATGCTGCCAGTGTTCTGCGATTGTCAAGAAGTGCTTTTAACCAATTTTAAAAAAAAAAGGTGACAATGTGAATGCTGATTCACACTGTAAAGTTCTATCAATGCTTCTGATGCAATTTGTAGAAAACATCAAGACCTGCTGACTAGAAGAGTACTGCTCCTTCACGAAAATGCCAGACCCCATACGGCTCGGTTAACGCAGATGAAAATTAACCATCTAGGGTGGGAACTTCTAGAACATCCACCTTACAGCACTGACTTAGCTCATAGTGATTTTCACCCTTTTGGTCCACTGAAAACCCACCTTGGTGGGAGACATTTCGCGAATAACGCAGAAGCTGAATGTGAAGTGAAAATTTGGCTTAAAAAACAGAGCATGCAGTTCTATGCAGCAGATTTGGAAGGACTGATAAAAGATGGGACAAGTACATCCATGCTGGTGGAAATAACGTTGACCAAGAAAAAGGGAGAGTGTATGTGTTAAAATAAATGATTTTCAAGTTGTTATCATTTTTTTTTTAAAACAACCAATTTTGACTTACTTATTGACTTTCCCTCGCAGACCCAAGAAGAATCTAGAGATCAACAGACATTAGAACCAATTTCATGTGGGAACTGTCAGTAAAGGTATTCTGGGATGGCTGCTGCAATGGGGCACTGAGCACACATGGGAATGCCCAGTTTGTAGGATATAGATTGTGACAGCCTAACATAAGAAGAAGAATCTAACAATGAAGACAATTTTTAGACAAAACTTACAAAAACAAAATTCAGTAACAAAGACAATTATTTACAATTTCTAGGCAACACATACAAAAACAATATTTAACAGAAAGACAATTATTTATATAATACAGTTTCTAGATAAATCATACAAAACAAACTTGAACAGGAAGACACTTATTTATGTAACAGCATTTCTAGATAAAACGTACAAAACAAAATTTAGTAACGAAGGCAATTATTTGCATAATGCAATTTATAAACAAAACACACTCTAACATTTTTAACACAAAAACAATTATTTGTATGATTCAATTTCCAGATAAAACATACACACCCTGAACTTGTCTTTCTGATTGCTGCTTCTTTTGCAGCTTCTGATCCACTGAGCTGACTAGCTTTGCGATGCGCATTTGCTTTATTAGATTCCTGAACTTGTGGCTTGCTTTTTTCCCAGTCCGATGCTAATGCTGCAGACACAGAGCAAAGCACGAATGACACATATAGGAAGATAAACTCTGACCCTGAAGGAAACCTGTAAACAGTCTACTCTTATAACATGCTTGTTAGGAAGGTGGTGGGTCTACTCTTGACTCCCTCTCCACACAATGGAGCCCCAGAGCCAACACGAGGATTACGGATGTTAAACAGAGCAAACATGAGGATTACGGATGTTAAACAGAACCAACACGAGGATTACGGATGTTAAACAGAGCCAACACAAGGATTCTTCTTCTTCTTCTTCTTCTTCTTCTCTTCCACCTTGTACCTCATCGAAGTGTCGGGGGGAGATGTAATGTTCGTTGATGAGCTCTGTCAAGAGCACTATTAAGACTGATGTTCATTTCTGTAAGGCTGTTCTTAATGCCATCACTCCATCTTTTCCGAGGTCTTCCACTCGCTTTATACCCGTTGTAACGTTTTAGTGTGGCTCGCTGTGGCAGATAGTACCAGGGCATTCTTGTTAGGTGTCCAAACCATTTCATTTGTTGTTCTTTGATGACCTGTAAGACTGGCTTTATTCCTAGCATTCGTCTGATTTCATGATTTTGTATTCTGTCTTTCCTTGAAACTCCTGCAGTTCTTCTAAGGCATTTCATCTCTGTTGTCACAATTTTACGTTCATTGGCGGATGTAAGTGTCCACGTTTGGCACTGATAGCATAGTATTGGCCAAAAAATAGTTCTGATAAGATTCACTTTAGTACTCTGAGGTATCTGCTTGTGTGTTAATTTCTTGTCCAGTTTTCCGTCACTGAAGTTTCTAAATTGCTCTTTAATACTTAATTATCTGTTTGTCTGTTGTTTTTAATTTAATTTCTAATTTGTCTTTATGTCTTCCTATCATCATTGTCTATGTCTTCGTAGTGTTTATTTTCATATTATATTCCTCCCCTTTGTTACTAATTTGATTTAGGTGGTTCTGTAGGCATTCCATATTTTCTGCTATGAGTACCTGGTCGTCGGCGAAAAGTAATTCTGTTATATCTTCTTCCTGATTAAAGTCTGTTTCGCTACATATGGCGTCCATGTATGTTATGAAAAGAAGCGGCGATAGTACACACAACCTGACGCACACCAGAGTTCACTATAAAAGTTCTAGACAACCCTGCCTTTGATCTTATGCAGCATTCACTACGTGTGTACAGGCTTTTGCAAATATTAATGAGATGATTGCTGATTCCTTTTTCCCCCATACATTCCCACAACATATTCCTGTCGACTCTATCGAAGGCTTTTTTTTGGTCTATGAATGTCAACAAACATGTCTTATCATGTTCTATTGCCCTCTCTGATAGTTGTCTCAATGTATAAATGGCATCTGTGCAACTTCTGTTTCGTCGAAAGCCCATCTGTGCTTCTGAAAGTTGATACTCTATCAATGGTCTCAGCCTTTTTTCGATGATCTTAGCATACATTTTCCCAGTGTGACTGAGAAGTGATATTCCTCTGTAATTAGTACATTCCCTCTTACTTCCTTTATTTTTCCACAGCGGGACAATGACAGCAGTTTGCCAGTCTGATGGTGTTTCTTGATTTTCCCATGCCACCTGAAATATTCTCTTTAACCATATTGCTCCCGTTTCTCCTGCTGCCTTGATGGCCTCAGCTGGTAGATCATCAATACCTGTCGCCTTTAGTCTAGGGGCGGTTCGAATGGCATATTTTACCTCATCCAATAATATACCTGGTTCTAGTTCCTCTGCTGTTAGTTCCGAGTTGTTTTTATGTTCTTCCCTGCTTTTATCTGTTTTACTGCAGCTAAGTAATGCTTCAAAGTAATTACTCCACCTTGCTAAGATTTTAGTAGGTTCTATTAAAGGTTGGCCAACTTCATCATTTATAATTTCTGTTGGGTTGTATTCTTCATTCCTGTTTCTCATGCCTTTGATTTTTTTGTAGTAGTTTTTTCACTGCTGATCTTTCTTCTTCAGCCAGCTTGCTTCCAAACTTTTTCCCATGAATCTCTTTTTTGCTTTTCTGATAGTTCTATTTACTTCTCTTCTAATTTTCCTGTATGTTATGTAATCCTCTTCTGTTCTGCTCCTCAACCAAATGCCATAAGCTTTCTTTTTACTGCTCACAATACTTCTTATTTCTTCAGACCACCATGTTGAGAGCTTACGCCCTATGTTACCTTTCCTTTTAGTTCCACATATTTCCTGTGCTATTTTCATAGTGGTGTCTCTGAAATTCAACCATTCTGTATTTACCCCAAGAGTGTTTTGTGGAAGCTGTTCATAATTTTCCTGCAATTTTTGCTGAAACGCTCGCCTGTTTTCTTCACACTCTAGTTCTTTCCATTTTATTATGTCACTTTTATTACATTTCTTTTTGGTTTGATAACTTATCTTGATTTTTCTGTCAAGGATCACCATCCTATGATCTGTATCTAAACTCAAGTTTGGTATAACTCTCGCATCTGTAACTTGATGAAAGTCTCTTTTTCTCGTCAAGATGTAATCAATCTGACTCTTGGTATCTGGATCATTCCATTTATACCATGTAAAAACTTGTGAAGCTCTATGTTGAAAAAAGGTGTTGGTAATAACAAGGTCATGTTGTGTACATATATCCAACAGTCTTTCGCCATTTTCATTTCTAATGCTGTTGTCTCCATAATTGCCTAGGTATCTTGTGAATGTTCTTCTGTCTCGTCCTGTCTTACCGTTAAAATCACCCATCACGATCAGTTTCTCGTTATTATCTATCTTACAAATTTCATCATCCAGGTTCTCAAAGAAAAAATCTAAATCCTCTTCACTGTAATTTCCATTGCACGGAGCATATATCTGAAAAAACACCTCCGAACTATTTCCTACTTGTAATTTCAAACTTATAATTCTTTCCGAGATGTAGTTAACTTCAAGTATATTTTTTGCAGTTTCGGGATCGATGACAAATCCCACTCCATGCTTCGCACGTTGCATTTCCTCTACTCCCGATTGTATCAAAACGTAATTTTTATGTAGTTTCTTCATTCCTCGTCCTTTCATTCTCACTTCTGATAAGCCTAATACTTTAACATTATATTTCTCCATTAATTCGATCACTTGTTCTTCTTTATTGCCCCATCCACATATATTGATTGTCCCTACCCTGGTCTTAACCTTCTGCTGGCCTCTATTTTCCCTATTTCTAAAACATCTCCTATTTTCATCTTGGGCATTTAACACAAGGATTACGGATGTTAAACAGAGCAAACACGAGGATTACAGATGTTAAACAGAACCAACACGAGGATTACGGATGTTAAACAGAGCAAACACGAGGATTACGGATGTTAAACAGAGCAAACATGAGGATTACGGATGTTAAACAGAGCAAACATAAGAATTACGGATGTTAAACAGAGCAAAGACGAGGATTACAGATGTTAAACAGAGCAAACATGAGGATTACGGATGTTAAACAGAGCCAGTCATGATGTACAGGTATCTCCTTCTATAGAACAATTTACATGCAAAATCAAACCAGCATAAACTAATTTACAAAGGGCTTGATGTGGGTTGGTTGAGGGTCTATTTTCTACTGATAAATAAAAGGTAGTAGCAGACAAATAAATGTAAACAAAAAGGAGGATGAGAAGGAGAAGGAGGATGAAGAAGAAAAAGAAGAAGAAGAAGAAGAAGAAGAAGAAGAAGAAGAAGAAGAAGATGAAGAAGAAGAAGAAGAAGAAGAAGAAGAAGAAGAAGAAGAAGAAGAAGAAGAAGAAGAAGAAGAAGAAGAAGAAGTAGAAGAAGAAGAAAAAGAAGAAAAAGAAGGTGAAGAAAAAGAAGAAGGTGAGAAAGAAGATGTATGTTGAAGTTAACTGTATTCAGTGTTACAATGTTACGCAGTGGTCAGTATGGAGAGCAATAATCTTTTTATAATTTTTACAAAATTTATTTGCACACATAGCACAGCTGTTTAAACAAAAAGACACTTCAACTTACTGTCTAGGCCAGGTTCAGTACTGATTTCAACTTCCTTTGCCTTTGCTTGGGCCCTGTGTAAAAAATAGTAGTAGATACAAATTGCTGAGTTCTTTAACCCTACCAGACCGCTGGCCTGATTTTCCGGGAATTTCCTTACCTACATTTATACCGCTGGCCCACTTTTCTGGGAATTGACGTGAAAAATCTGCGTCACAGACTAAAAATAACCAGCCAATCGCCATCAGACTTTGTTGTTAGTCATTGTGAATGACTTCCAACGTGTGTTGAGATTTCTTTGTGTGGTTTGATGTGAAAAAAATTCGGATTGAAACGAGCGGCTTTGACAAGAAAGTGACGTAGGTCTAGGCTTTTCACAGTCCAACAGGTGATCGATAGTTTGGTTAATTCAGACTGTGAATACGTTCATGAAGAATACGTTCCCAGTTGAAGTGACATAGTCAGTGAGAGCTAGAGTGAGGAGGAGAATTAGGAAAATTTTAGATTTAAAACTTGATCGATAGTAAGAGAAGGGGGCGTGTCCCTCAAACAGCAACATCTGGTGCTTACTTTGTGAAAGAAGACTGATCCTACTAGGTGGATTGGCACACAAAGGTGGAAGATTGGTGCTAGATGAAAGGTAAACCTATTTTCTACAATGTCTCCAGGTTTTATCTTATTCTAACCACTTGTTTGCATGTAACTAATTTTTTTTTGTACAATTGTGGGTTTTTTCGTGTTAGTGCCCAGGAGCTCAGGTTATATGGACAGTTAGGTTCAGGGCCTCAGGTATGGTAGAGTTAAACATTACAAAAATGTTTCATTATTTTTGCTATCTTTGTAACTTTCACCATCTTTATCATCATTATGATTAATGTGACTGTAACCATAACCACCACTACTGTCATTATCATCAACTCTTTAGGTCCCATAGCTGAATCCCAAACAAGGTAATAACGACAACAAGATCATGAGTATACAACATCCATAGAAACTTACAAGTTTGTTTAACTAAAGACCGATGTACTTTCAATCAGTTCTGACACAGATGATCTTCCATAGTCTATATCATGTGAATGTTAGTAGTCATGTCTATCCACAGCCTTGTGTCTGATGTACTTTGAGTACACCTCCATGGCGTGTGGGCCACATGTTGGGAAACACTGGGTAAGTGTTACTAGTCTTTATTTTCCTTACTGATCTGGTCATTTACCTTTTAACTTTACAACCTTGCCCAGCATTTGAACCTGGGTCTCCTGCATGAGGGCTGAGCGTTCTTAACCGTTAGGCCAGCAGCTCCTCCTCCAAACAATTTGAGGTAACAGTAACAAAACTGTGTTTCTCCTTCTTCTCCTCCTTCTTCTTCATCTTCTTCTTCTTCTTCTTTTTCTTCTTCTTCTTCTTTTTCTTTTTCTTCTTCTTCTTCTTCTTCTTCTTCTTCTTCTTCTTCTTCTTCTTCTTCTTCTTCTTCTTCTTCTTCTTCTTCTCCTTCTTCTTCTTCTTCTTCTTCTTCTTCTTCTTTTTTGCCTTCTTTATCTTTTCTTCTTTATCTTTTCCTTCAAATCTTCTTTTTTCTGCTTTGTCTTTTTCATATTTTTCTTTGTCCTTTTAACCTTCGCCATTGTCACCTTGTTCATTTTCTTATTTGTCATCATCATCATCTTCTTTTTCTTTAATTGCTGTCTTCAAAGTGCAAGGAAACTAGAAATAGGTATACATTAAAAAAAAAATCTTGACAACCTGTGCAGTGTCATGAGCTAGTTTGTTTTTACATCTGTCCAGAGGTCAAGAGAGTCTGAGAGGTCACACTGGGCTATTTAGCAGCACGGCATAATGTGTTTTTTACATGATAAAAAGTTAAACTTAAGATCAGGGAGTTGGAAGAAACCTTGATGAGCAACCGAATGGAGAATCTACAGCAGGATGAGTCAAATGACTTGGCACACATTTCACTCTGACTTCACCACATGCCTCCCACACCTTGATAACCACATTTGAGCAAAGAGCAGCAAACAAAATAGTCATAAATAATCAACTGAAAAACAATTCAGAACTTTTAATTAACAATAACTTTAAAAACATTTTTGGTGGTGTAACAAGAATACCCAACAATTTACCTCTGCTCATCACAAATGATTTTTGACATTTCTAAACATCTAAAGAGAAAAATGGCAACAAAGATATCTAAACAAACAAGGAATGGAAAGATAATTACTAAATGAAATCAAACTTATTCTTCTTTCTTACAGTTCATGCTGTGTGGCATCGGTGAGTGTTAAAATCTACATTTACGACATTTTACAGTGAAAATAAGAAAAAAAGCTGACCTTTCATTGCTCTATCTTTAGAAACTTTCTGCAGAAAAAATATAATGCTAAAATTGATGTTATTGAATATAGGACATTCCCATGTGTGCTAAGTCCTCTCATGAGGAGAGGAAGTTTGTTATAATGTCACTTAATGAAGTCCAAGATTAATCACATGACCCTTCTGTTTACATAACATAGGACTGCCTATCCAAATTGCTAAAGCTTCTGCCAATTTTTGTGCATGATTAAAGAAAAAAAAAATTGAAGACACAATCACCATCATGCATGTGCCTAGTCCAGAAGGGAAGCATATTTCCTTGAACTTTATAGCTTGTCTTGTTGCTGTGCAGCCGTTCAGTAAATTCTACACAAGTAATGAAACAAACAATTACTAATAACCTACAGACATTAATTAAGTGGTGCCTCTGCAGAACAAAGGGAATTAAATGATTTGATAGAATCACTAATGTAAAGCTTTGGGAGAGAACTAAACAAGTGCTAGTGGACCAAGAGGTGAAGAAATGATGCTGGTGTTAGATAAGACAGAAACTAAGAAAAAATTGAGAACAAAATAATTAGAATGTCTTCATATTGGAACCAACAGGGTCACAGAAATAAAGGCAGACTCAAAAATACACATACAAGGGAGATAGAGAGTGAAGTTAAAAAGATAGGGAGGACATGAGGTGAGCTGCATGCGATAGCAGATGAAAGAACTTATGCGTTGGTGAGGGTCTATGCTCCATCAGGGGATAATAGGCAGAAGAAGAATGGAACAATTGCATTGAGAAAGAGGGTATTCAGTCAAACATGCATTTATAACATAAAACATAAAGAACATTATTTGCACCAAAAGCCTGACCTGAATATACTTTTAATGATTCCAGCTGATGAGGCAATTGATGATCTGTTGGATTTATCTTCATGACTGTGGTGCTGATCTTTAACTGAAATGAAACAAAGAAATGACAAGGTGCCCTCAGTTAGCCTTGCAAGTTCAGGATTGCAGGCAACAAATGATTGCTATAAAACACAACTGACCTTTTTTTTTTTTTTTTTTTTTTTGCCATAATGTCCAATAGCTGGCTGACCACTGATACTCTGGAAAGTTATTTATTTCCAGCTAGGTTTTGCTGATGCAAATTCCTCTTTTCTGGACCAAGAGTCCAAAGATTCCATCACCCCGCTACTAAGCTGAGTGGTTGGTGCGACACTGTGAGATGTGGATTTCATTTGGAATGGTTTTTTTTCTGTTTGTTTGTGTGTTGTTGACTGCACTAAAATGGCAGGTGGTCAGTTAATGCTGTGTACTTGTGAAGATGTAATGCTAGCTTTCGTGATTGGCCGTTTGCACCAACAGTTTTCTTCTGGTGTGCGACCGTTAGTGCTGGCACATCTAACAGTGGCCTTATGCATTTTAACTTTGCTTAAGTAAACTTCAAGATTTTGCTGGGACTAACAATTTTTCCAATAGTTTTTAAATGGGATGTCTGCGTCTGTGGCTTAGGTGTTGCAAACCCGCTTCGTAATTCCTTAAGTCCAGAAAGCAATGGCAAACTACTGGATGTAAATAAACCTAGAAAAACCACAACAGCCAAAACATTCTGAGGATGCTTCTGCAACGTTCTTTAAAGGATACACAACTAACTTTTAACTTTTCAAATGAGGCAGTGAAGTAAACTTTGCATGATTTCCACCAACACAGGAATGGAGCACATATGGGGTGACCTGTCTATACTAATGTTGAAACCCAGCTGATGAATAATGACTTATTTTTTTATCCAAAACTGTTGACAGATCATAGTAACAGCAACAGTGGTTGCTAAACAATTTATGATTAATTTTGTTATACAGTGTTGATAGATGATGACGAAAGAATTTTTTTTTTAAAAAGACAGAAAGAGACAGAAGCAGAGAGGCACACAAAGTGATAAACAGAAAGAGAGATGCACTGAAAGTTACACAGAGGGATACATATTGAAAGAGACACAAAGAGACACACACACAGAAGAAAATGCTGAAAAGGACAAAGAAAGACAAACGTAAACAGAGAGGGACATTTTGACATGGACAGAGAGACAAAGAGAGACAGAGAGGGACACAGGGACATGCTGAAAGGGACCCAGAGAGAGAGAGAGAGAGAGAGAGAGAGAGAGAGAGAGAGAGAGAGAGAGAGAGAGAGAGAGAGAGAGAGAGAGTGAGAGAGAGAGAGAGAGAGAGAGAGAGAGAGAGAGAGAGAGAGAGAGAGAGAGAGAGAGAGAGAGAGAGAGAGAGAGAGAGGGATACTGTAAAACAGAGTAAAATGTGTTAACAAACCTGAAATAGGGCTTTCATCTGGGATCGTTTTAGAAGCACTCTTACAGTGTAGGTATCGATTACGTTTGAATACAGCCTTACAAACATCCATCAGTGAATTGTTGACCAGGCTGGCTGCGAAGGGCTGAACAGAATGATGGTACAAAGAAAAACTTTATGTTAGACATGTTTTCTGTTTTAAGTTTAACTGAAGAGTGGTTGGCTGAACAGATGAAAACACTGGTTTTTACTGCAGGGAACTCGGTATGTTTACTGGTTTTTTTTTTCTGCCAGGGTACAGTTCGTAGTGACAGCACTAGCCATACGTCTCTAAATCCTAAGGCTCCAAGACCCTCCTGCCTATACCCCAAAATTGGTAAATACCGGCAGTTACAGAAATTCTTTTATTTACTTTGTCACCCAGAGGAAACTGTTCTACCAGCATTTAAAAGTTTTTGATGACATGAAGTTTTTAGGCAGTGACCACTACTCCAGTATAGTACTTTGGTACTAGCTGCAACTGCATAGTATGTAGGCATGGTGGGTATCCTCCTCTACTTCGATCCTTCAGTCAGGAAACTTATACTAGGAGGCTGGTAGCTTTCATGAAAACTACCGTGCAGTCCACATCTCCAAATGTGCCATTCAGCTTTGCCTTTACTGGATTATATTTTTATTTTTTTTATTTTTGTTAATATTTTTTGGGGTGGGGGAAAATAAATTTTTCTTTGTCACATGACATAAAAAAGAAAAACTTATGATGGTGTCACTTTTGTCCTAGTGGCTGAGTCAACAACACCCCAGTTCTCATGATTAAAGAGTGTGAAAGCAGTGAATTCTTTGCTTTGTAGGTAGGTAGGTATGTTGTACTCCATCAGGACATCACATAAGCAATAAACACTTAGTGACACAAAGTGCCACCATGTGGATGAGGATCACCTGGGGAGAGGTCCCGGAAACCCCGTTAAGCCATTAGGCCATATTTAAGGCACGGCTCTATTTAGGGTCCCCGGCAAAAGCCAGGGTGGGGCTTCAAAATAACTAAAAATTGCATCCCACAAGTGGATTACAATATAAGAACTTTGCTTTATTTGTATTTTGTGATTACATCCCTTACTAGAAAGCTTATTTTTGGGGTTACAAAATTACAAAAATTATTTACAAAAAATTGTGTTTAGTCACTTTGATCATAGATGATACGATAGCTAGCAAGTTCCCCTTGGATTTTTATAAAAACTTAACCAGAGTCAAAATTTCTTCTGCTTTTTTCTTCCCTTTCTCTAGTTTCTTAAAGTAGAATTTTAGAGAATTTTAACGATGTGGATCTTTCTAGCGAAATTTAGAAAAAGGTTATTTCTAAATCTTCTTTTGCATAAATCTTCTTATGCATTAAAAGGATTAAACTGAAGAATTTATGAGAAGAAAATTAGTTCTAAAGAGCTCTATAGAGCCAGTGCTAATATACGGATAAGAATCATGGAGATTAGTGAATTATGTGGAAACTGCAAAGATGTTTTGTAGACCAAAGATGAGAACATCATGGACAGCAACTGATTACCCGCACCAGAGGGTGACAGTATGCATTCTTTAGTTACCCTCTGCTCATTCTCAAGTAAATCAGTCTTTCCTTCTTCTTCTTATTTTCATAGCGTTTGGTTTCGTATGCTCAGATCAGACCATCAGGTGGGTTGCCTCTATGAACTCGCATGTTAGCTGCAGGTCCTTCATGGTTCCCCATAGCTTGCTCTGCGCAATTTGCTCTTGAGGCCAGGTGTTTTTTCGAAGTTGTAGGTAGAGTGGGCAGGTCTGCAGAATGTGCTCAGGTGTTTGTGGTCCTGTTTGACAGGCACACTATGGGGACTGTACAGTATTTATTTTATGCATGTGGTAGTTGAGCCTGCAGTGTCCTGTTCTTAGATGGAGAACTGTTAAATGTTGCTTTCTGTTGAGTCTGCCGATAGGGTCTTCTGGATGTTTACTGTCATTTTGTTCTCTCCACAATTCCTTATATTTTTCCTCGATAAGTGTTTTGATTTATGCTAATGACAATTAATGGGTGTGTTGACTTCTCTGTTCCATTTCTGTCCGCTAACTCATCTCCTGGTATGCCGGGATACACTGGAGAATGATTTGATTGTTTTCTGAAAGTCTGTTTGGCTGGCAGGTCAGTTCTCCCTCCATGGTGTTTTACAGATCCCTTTGATTCACCTGGAGAACTGACATGCAGTCACACAGGACAGTTTTTTTACTGTTCTTAATTTTTCTTTCCTACAGCACTTTGGTTTAATTAATAATTGCTTGCTGCTCTGCTCTGAAGTTTTCTGGAGACACATGATGTTTCCACTGTGGTTCCATCTTGCAGCATGATGACCAAACCTGCTCCTCTGTTTTTTTGTTGCTCCCTGGAATGATCCATCAGTGGATACACGTCTTTCCAGATATGGATAGTGTGTTTTATAAATAAAACGACAGATGAGAACATGATGGACAGAAGGTGTATTGAAGATACTTTGAAACAAATTAATCCATGAAGAGAACTGATTATCCAGTCTGCATTCCTTGTTCATCCTCTGCTCAGTCCTAGGAGAATCTGTCTTTCCAAATAAGATATTTTGTCTTATAAATAAAACGAAAGATGAGAACATCATAAACAAATATTCAGTGATTTGAAGATACCTTGAAAGAAATTAACTCATGAAGAGAACTGACTACATTAAATCAGAAAGTGACAATCTGTATTCTTTGGTCACCTTCAGTGGTAAACGTAGGGTATTTGGTGCCCAAGGCAAAGGAGATCACCAGGTGTCAGAGTAACTTTAAAAAATAAAGCTAAAATAGTTGAGTGTAAGTCAACAGTGTATTCAGAACTAGTATATATATATATATATATATATATATATATATATATATATATATATATATATATATATATATATATATATATATATATATATATATATATATATATATATATATATATATATATATATATATATATATATATATATATATATATATATAAATATATAAATATATATATATATATATATATATATATATATATATATATATATATATATATATATATATATATATATATATATATATATATGTGTGTGTGTTTGTGTGTTTATATGTATGTATATATTTATGCGTGTACATATATTTATATATATATATACTTATGCATATATCTGTGTGTGTGTGTGTGTATGTATGTATGTATATATATATATATATATATATATATATATATATATATATATATATATATATATATATATATATATATATATATATATATATATATATATATGCATATATCTGAGAGTAGGTATGTGTGTACGTATGTACATACACACATACATACTTACATACATAATATTTATACACACACACACTTTAAAAAATGATATTTTGCTGGGTACTTTGACAGAAATTATGACCTTGTGTGACCAGCCTATGCCATGCCCCATTAAACATTTTTTTTTTAAAATGTAAGCGTGATCAAGGGTAAGTGTTTATATTTTTTTAGGGTGGTGCTTTTCTTATCTTCTTCAACAAAATAAAACTCACGGAGGTTCCTGTCGATGAGATGCTGCCACTTAAAAAACAAAACAATTTTGAGTTGTTTACCCCCTTCCCCCCCCCTCCATTTTTTTTTTTCAGGTGGCCCCCAGGGCATCTGCCCTCCCTCTAGCTATGCCAATGGTCACTCCCCTGCTCATTCCCAGGTGACTCAGTCTCTCTAGATAGGAATATGTTGCATAAAGAAGAATTTGCTTAACTAACCTCATTATCCAGACTTGGGTTGGCATACGTAGAGAGTTTCTCCTGAAGCTCCTTCAACATATCAGCTATGTTCTGGGCCTGTGCATTGCTCCTGGCAACCTCAGCTTTGATTTTCACTTGTACATTTGTGAGACCATGGGCAATGCACTCCATAAAAATTAAATCACTCATGTGACTCTTAAATCTAAATTTGAGTAAATTTAGACAAAAAGTTAATTCCTGAAGATTAAAAAATTAAATAAAAAATAAAACAGTTTATTACTAAATCATTTTAGAATATTATGGATCAACAGAAATTACTAAAGAGACATTTGACAGCTTCAATCCACTCAAAAAGGGGGAGTTTGTGGTCTTGAGTCATGGTGTCCGCCTCGAGTGCTAGAGATTCCGGGTTCAATCCCCGGTAAGGGCTGGGATTTTTTCACACGGACTTGGACTTCTAGTTATTCCCCCTGGTCTCTGGGTAGTGAGATGGGACGCCCCTGTGCATTGTTGCACAAGCAAAAAAATCCCTTGGCTGTTGGAAATGGAAAAGAGTAGCCTAACGGCTCCGCCTGGGCAAAATTCGGAGTTAAAAATCTACCCAAAGTATTTCAGGAACCTCGCCAGTGCTACAGAGCCTGTGCTGAGCTTCTTCAGACTCAAACTTGAGTTAGAAGAAGAACGGAGCACTTATGAGTTACTACCTGTGTGCCATGATGTTGATCCATTGTTCAAAACCTTAAAACCTCAATCCACTTAAAATTGGAGGTAGACCTATTCCAGAACTTTGACATGCAGGCAACACAGTTTTCCTTTCCATCAATCTACAAGGCTTAGAAAAATACATTTTGACTTTCAAAAAGGACAGTTAACAAGAGAATCTATTTCTGAATCTGAAAAAAAAAAAAACACAATAATGTCCACAATGACTACAGCACACCAACCATGTATTACAATTGACAACAAAGAGACTTAAAAATGTCACTGATTTTGAATATTTAAACGAAATTATGAATTACAAAGGTAACTACACAAAAGTAGTCAGAAAAAATTCTTGTTTTAGCAATGCAAAGGCTAAACAGCATAAAAAAAACGTATGACATAGCACGTGCAAGCAAGTTAAAAGAAAAAAAAACTTCAAGATCATGCACCTTTACAGTGGCAACTTATGGATGTGTGTCACAGACTCTCACTCAGTCTCTGAAGAAAAAAATCAGAGCTTTTGAACTGAAGTGCTACAGAAATATTCTTAGAATATCCTGGACCGAAAAGAAGAAAAACATCATCCTGCATGACCTGAACATCGAGAAGAACTGGCTCATAAACAGAATCCTCTCCCGAAAGCTGAGATATTATGGACATGTCCAGCGCCATGGTGGCTGTAGAGAACGGTGATGGAGGGCGCAGTTTTGGAAAATGAAGATGGATAGAGGGCACTGAAGATGCATTAGCTGTGAAGGCACATGGTGCTGGAGAATTGGTTACAGAAGAGAGAATTTAAGATGTGACATTATGCAAAGGACATGCTAATTGAATGATTGACTGACTGGATCAACAGAAAGAAAAATACTCAGATTCAACCAGATCTCAGCAGCAAACAATATGTAGTGGGAGATTGATTTTGATTCTTTTCCATGAATCCCAAACACCCTTATTCTTATATTGTTGATATTTGTTCATAATTATCAAGTATACACCCTTATTCTTATATTGTTGATATTTGTTCATAATTATCAAGTATACACCCTTATTCTTATATTGTTGATATTTGTTCATAATTATCAAGTATACACCCTTATTCTTATATTGTTGATATTTGTTTATAATTATCAAGTATCTTGCAGACGCAGATCGACTCAGCCTAAAATTGGTAAGATGTAATGTCTAGGAAGTCAAGGTGGCCAGAGTGATGTGGACCACACAACCCAACAAGTGCCAGTTCATTGTCCTTGTCCTGTTGGGCCATTAGCTGCCACATAAAGCATGCAGACTATTCCTCAATTCCATTTGATCCTGTGCAGTCTCTCAAATCCAGTCCAGCACCTTTGGTCCTCACTGCTTCATCCCCTTTATTTCCCATTTTAGTGCCTGTCTTGTGATTCTCATGATGTGTCCAGCATAGCATTATCTTCTTTGTCTTATAAGTGTTATTACGACTGGTTACCTAGACATTTCTCTTATTTCTTCATCCCTTTTCAATCTATTTCATTTTGTTTGTTCAACGATTCCATCAGGTACTGACTGCCAAATGTTTTTTTAAAAATATGATGCCATATGTGGTGTGCCAGTGGTGTTAAAAAAAAAAGTCCTTTACTTGACTTACCTTGTGAGCTTGCACAGACAATTATGCTTCTCCACTCTAACAGCATATGTGTCTGTTAATCTGCTGATGCTATTTCATGCCAAGACAGAAGTCTATCAAGGGTTTTGCTTCAGGGTTCCCTTTGGACGTCCTCATTTTCTCAATCCTTCTATTTCCCACTTCAGTGTCTGTTTGGTGATTCTCTGCTTGTTTCTTCTCAGAATTTATAGAAAATAGTACCATTTTCTATGACTTATAACTATTGATACTATTGGTTACCGAGATATTTCTCTTACTTCTGCATTCCTCTCGAATTTTAGTTCACTGAGACTCAAAGACTGTGACTCTGAAGTGCAAAAACTCTCACTTACAAAGAATTAAAGAAACAGCTACATGGCACTGACAAAAGTCTTACATAACAGGAGCATGTGATTTCCCACAACCCATGGAGTATATTCACATCTGCTGTCACCCTGAGAACACTGGTTTTCATACTTTTATGGGTCTTTGATGATGAGACATTGTTGGGCAGTAGTCAATATTCCTATGTAACAGCTCTAGTACTTACTAGTTGTAAATGCAAAATGTGTAGACATACTGGGTATTATTATATTTAGAAAAACAATACTTTTCTGGAGGTGATATTGCTTGGGGCAAAAACAATTTTGTTCCTGTCACTGTGACATCATAATAAACTTATGTAGACGTCTCTTTGGTCTCTCTAGGCTGTGTCATTCAAACACCCATTTTCTTGATCAAAGGGAAGAAAATCAGTTATTTCTTTGCTCACCTTGTAGTGACTGATTACTTCCCTTCATTAAAAAAAAACACATCTTTGCGCAAATTAATTACTAAATATGAGAAAGCAATCATTTGTAATGACTCACGGACCATGATGATGCAATAGCTAGCAGGCTGGCCTGTCTGCTTGGTAGTTCCCTTTCCCCATAGTTTTTATAAAAACAAAGACTCAACATTTTTTTCTGCTTCTTCTTTTCTTCCTCATGTTTTTTAGGGTCAGGTTTTGCTGAATTATAACAGTAAGTTTTTTAAAATGAAATTTTGGAAAAAGTCAGTTTTTAAGATTTTTACAAGATGAAAAGAATACTTTTATGGAGACACAAACAACCCTTCACCTGTCCTCAAAATTGGAAGCAGTTTTGGTGGCACTATCCAGGAACTTGGACTCCACACTCTCCAACTCTGCCATGATTGATCCTTCTGCGCTGTCAATCATCAAAGACATTTTGTCCAGCTTCTTGCGGTAAATTTCAATCTCTTCAGGGCAAAAGTTTCCACCATCAGAGAATAACCTATTTGTGTAGAGAAGATTGAATTAGGCATGTTGTGTGGTTAAGCGTTATCTCTTGCTGGCCCAGGAGATCTGTTATTTTAACTCATTCTATACTTTAAATTTTAATAACTAAAATTTTATTTAATAAAATAAGAATGCTTTCATGCCCTGGCATATACTTGGGTGTGAGGTAAGGAAGTAAAGTCAAGAACCCTTTTCCACACCTTCAGGTGTATTGGGAATATAGGAGATATTTTATAGACCCAACTGTCACTCAGTTGGTCAGGTGTATTGGGAATATAGGTGATATTTTATAGACCCAACTGTCACTCAGTTGGTCAGGTGTATTGGGAATATAGGTGACATTTTATAGACCCAACTGTCACTCAGTTGGTCAGGTGTATTGGGAATATAGGTGACATTTTATAGACCCAACTGTCACTCAGTTGGTCAGGTGTATTGGGAATATAGGTGATATTTTATAGACCCAACTGTCACTCAGTTAGTCAGGTGTATTCAGAATATAGGTGACATTTTATAGACCCAACTGTCACTCAGTTGGTCAGGTGTATTGGGAATTAGGAGATAATTTATAGACCCAACTGTCACTCAGTTGGTCAGGTGTATTGGGAATTAGGAGATAATTTATAGACCCAACTGTCACTCAGTTGGTCAGGTGTATTGGGAATTAGGAGATAATTTATAGACCCAACTGTCACTCAGTTGGTCAGGTGTATTGGGAATTAGGAGATAATTTATAGACCCAACTGTCACTCAGTTGGTCAGGTGTAATGGGAATATAGGTGATATTTTATAGACCCAACTGTCACTCAGTTGGTCAGGTGTATTCAGAATATAGGTGACATTTTATAGACCCAACTATCACTCAGTTGGTCAGGTGTATTGGGAATTAGGAGATAATTTATAGACCCAACTGTCACTCAGTTGGTCAGGTGTATTGGGAATTAGGAGATAATTTATAGACCCAACTGTCACTCAGTTGGTCAGGTGTATGGGAATTAGGAGATAATTTATAGACCCAACTGTCACTCAGTTGGTCAGGTGTATTGGGAATTAGGAGATAATTTATAGACCAACTGTCACTGAGTTGGTGATGTGGTCAGCATCACACTGGCTGCCTTAACTTCCCAGGACTGTAGCTGTTTCTGTTTAAGGCTGGGTTGACTTGGGGGCCAAAGTCATTTTTGAAAGTGTCCAGCTCCATCAGGACCTGAACCCACAATTTTCAGAACCACAGGCGAGTGTCTAGTGGCTTCAAGAGACACTGTAAGTCAGTTTAAAAAATACCCTTTTTATACCAGTACGCCTGCCTGCTAGCATGATCATCTTAGTTTCAAATCCCCCATCAATCAGAATTTAAAACAAAAACAGACTTAGGCTCTTATATCCACCAGCCCCAATAAAAATAAGTACAAGGAAATGCTCTAATACATAAAAGTGTCTGGTTAAATACTGACTACCTCTCGTCTGAAAAAGTAATAAAAATCTATGGTTAAGCACCAGCAGGGAAATCAAAGTCAAAACATTGAGAGCATGCATCTTTTATGTAGCAATATATGGATGTGAGTCCTGGACTATCTTACAGGCCTCAAGAAAAAAAAAAGGGTATTTTGAGATGTACTATGGGGCCCTAATATAACCTAATGGTTGACGGGATATCTGGGACTTGTGCCAGGTTGGTCCTCATCCAAAAGGTGGCACTTTGAGTCACGGGGTGTTGGTCGCTCATTGTACGGTCCTGGTCGGTTGAACAACACATATGCCCTATGGGAATGTCCAATGTTTAGTGCCACTGACCGTGATAACAAAACCATGTGTCAAAATTGTCCAATGATGTGGAAGCAAGTTCTTTACTTTAGTTACTTGTCAATGGCTATAAATTTTAATTATTCTGCTCCTATAATTTAACTCTTTGAGGCCCAAGCAACGGTGTGAGCGTTGTTTGAGAAGTTCCATTTTGCCCAAACAACGGTGCCACCGTTGTTTGTGTGTCCTGTACATTCTGCTTTGCACACGGCTGTGTACTTGTTTCCAATGTTTGAAAGTACGATTAAACTATTCAGGGAAAAGTCACTCTGCCGATATCCTTTTAGTTTCATTAATTATCTTAGTCACACATGTTTAATTTGAACGGAATCGCAACGAAAGTTTTTTCAACAGTGCATTTTCCTAAGTTCGTTTTTGAGTGCCATGAAAACCAATGTTTCAGCCACAAGTACAGGTTGCAGAATGCATCTTTTTGTGGCCAAAGCTCTGAAACTGTTTCAGTCAGATGTTTTTAACTCTTTGAGTCCCAGGGGGTTTAGCATCAGAGGCCCAAGGGGAAGTCAAAAGGGATGTAAAATCGGCGCATCTTGCGTTCATTGGGCCTCTAGGGGGGAACCTATGAACGTATGATGTGTTCCTTGGGACTCAAACAGTTAATTCTGATAATGATAATAAAAATTTAGATTTTTCAGAAAGTGATTCGGACAGGGCATTCTCACCAGCGAAGCTGAGCAATCAGCTGTTCCATATCTAGCGATTCTGATGAGTTTATTACAAAGACAATGTCCCATTGCTATCGTATTTATGGTGTAAGAGAAGGAAAGTGCTCTAAACAAAGAGATTGTATTATACTATGGCTAAGCTACATTGAAATCTACGCAGTTACAGTCTGTATATAACTGTACAAAGTAAATTGCAAATAGCGTGTGTGTAATGGCTCATTTTTCTGCCATTTGTTCTCTGAAATTTTCTCAGCACTCTGTGAGAACTAAGAGCTCCTGAGTGCTAAACTAACCCAGAAACTTATCATAACTTTGGAATTTGTTAGGAAATTAAACAAACTTTGAAATTTTTTTCTCAAATTTGAATATTTACTACTCATGTGGCTGCTAAATCCTGGTAAGTGACGAATTTGTTTGTAAAATGTTGTTGTGAAATTAACACCTGCTGAATTCTTCTTTCCAACTAATTATAAAAAAATTAAACATACACTTATCATCTGATTTAAAATGTACATTCATTTCTCTTAAAAATGTATATACTTTTATTAGGATTAGAGTAAATTACATTCTCTATTGCCTTTTTTGTACACCCACCCCTCTGCCATATTTGTAAAGGGAAATTAATGTGGGCCAATTCTGTCAAAATTCATGGGCCTGAAAGAGTTAACTCCCAGGTCAACCCAGCCGACTCTGGGTACCAGGAAATAGCCTGGGAAGTAAATCTGGCCAACATACTGTTAACTATTTCACAGACTAAGTGCCAGTTTGTCTTAAGCAAAATTATGGGTTTATCACCACATTCCTAATGTTATGTTATCATGACTGACATCCTTGCACATTGGGCATTCCTACAGATGCTCAGTCCTCCAATGCAACAGCCACTCTTAGGTACTCTTAGGTACTCATAGTGTCTCTTATCTTGACCTCGAAGATGTCATAGATGTGCTTCACCAAACTTGACTCCCAGGTCATGTAGTCATGTCAGCAATTCATCATTATCCCCCAACCTAATATGTTTTTTTTTTTTTTTTTTAGAATTAAGAGTTTTTAATCTCAGGATGGTATGAGCTCAAAGGGGGCAAATTGATAAATTGATCAACAGATCAATCCATATACGGAAAGCAACAATGACATGAGAAAGGTCCTGTACTTTTATTTAAATATTGTGTGTCCGTAAAGTCATTGTGCACTACTGACCGGTCACAGGAAATCAACGAAACAAGATAGAAATATTAAATTTTGAACTGAAGAACTTGAATATCATTTAGATGTGTGTAGGGCAATAAATGGAAGCCATATCGAACTGCACTGAATAGGTACAAAACTTGGAGAATTTTCCTTTCATTTGGTGAAGATTTTACATTTCTGTCTTGCTTTGTTGATTTCCTGTGACAGGTCAAACGTGCACTATGACTTTACGGACATACGGTATATTGTAACTACCTATAAACTTATTCTCAAGGGTAGGGAACCATAATGAAATTTTAACCATTTTAGGTTTCCATACATAATTCACAATTATTCACAGTGGAAAACAATAAGACAAAAGTGGTGGTTGGTTTTTCAAGCGGGAGATCCTGGTTCAAATCCCCAGTAAGGTTTGGGATTTTTTCTGTCTGGGGCAAAATAAAAAAAAACCTCATCTACAGTTGTGGAGATAGCACTAGCCATGCGTCCGTAAATCCTTAGGCTCAAAGACCCCCCTGCCCCCACCCGCCCGCCTACATCACAAAAGTGGTATAATAAAGGCAATAATTAGTAGTACCATACACATACAACTTCATGAACATGCTTCGGAGGATAAGCAACAGACAGAATGCGATCTGAATGGGTAGTTAGCATTTGAAAATCTCACTTTACCTCCCTCACCTGGATCTACACACCTGGTCATGCTGGGTAATGAGCGAACGGACCAACTGGCAAGCAATGCACCAACACATGTGGGAAGAAGCCTGGACAGAGCAGATATCATCAACGCTGTACAGACTGAGCTAATGGACAATGACAGATCTCAAACACTAACAGAATTGTGTGACATGGGAGTAAAGCATGGTGAAGCATGTCTCTCATGGGAACAGTTAGTAGAAACACCTTGGAGTGGTTGCTGTATCGAAGGACTGAGCATGCATGGGAATACCCAATGTGCAGTGACGTTGACTGTGATAACTTAACATAATATGACACAATACATACAAGTTTTACATGTTATAAATAATATGGATACCCACGTACCGAAAAGATCTGATGAATTTTGCATTAGATCCTCTCAGCTTCAGCAGAGTTTCATCCATGTGTTGACGAAACTGACGTAAAGATGCCCTTATGGAGGACATAAATTTGTCCAGCTCTATTTCCACCTGATTCTGAAGTTTTACTAGCCTGAAATTAAAATGAAAATTGTTAGAAGATGATTGTAATGCTTTGATTGAAGATGACTAATGTTTTGTTAGCGGATGATTGTAATGTTTTGTTAGCTTATGGCTGTACTGTTTTGATAGAAGATGATTGTAATGTTTTGCTAGGAGATGACTGTAATGCTTTGATAGAAAATGATTGTAATGCTTTGTTAAAAGATAATTGGGCTCTCCTGCCACCTTAGGCGGTTAGCTGGACTGCCGCCGATCGCTTAGTGGGAGTTCTCTCCCTTCGCTGCATTGCAAACAAGGAGCGGAAAAGTCACGAATCAAATGACATACTTACCTATCATCATAAGGTTGCGTGTAGGGTTGCGTAGTCGTCATAAGGTTACGGTTAACTATCATCATACGGTTGCGTGTACGGTTGCGTAGTCATCATACGGTCATCATAGGGTTTGGATTAGGATTAGGGATAGGGTTAGCGGCGTTAGGGGTTGGTTTAGGGTTTGGGTTACGGTTAGGGTTAGGGATAGGGTTAGGGTGTGGGTTAGGGTTAGGGATAGGGTTAGGGTTTGGGTTAGGGATAGGGTTAGGGTTAGGGTATTTTAGGGTTAGGGTTAGGCTTAGGGTTATGGTTAGCGTTAGGGTTTGTTAGGGTTAGGGTTAGGGTTAGGATTAGGGTTAGGGTTAGAAGTAGGGTTAGGGGTAGGGTTAGATGTGACAATTTTGACGTAGGAGTTCCAAACAATGGCCGACAATCTTATGCTTGTGGGAGTGGCACCACTGGATATCTCCCAAATATGACGGCAATAGCGCGCGGCTGGTGCGCAATCGGTGGCGAATTGTCCGTTTGCGTAGCATCCACAGTCCTTCGATTGTTTGGGTGTGTATGTGACTGTGCGCGATTATAGGGACCTCCTGCGTCACAATTGTCACATCTTACCCTAACCCTACCCCTAACCCTAACTCTACCCCTATCCCTACCCCTACCCCTAACCCCAACCCTACCCCTAACCACGCAAATTTATCGGTCATTAAAGCATACAGATCGGCAAAACAAAAAACCCCCAGATTTCCCCGACGTGTCAAATAAAAAAAAAACACCCAGATCTGGGGGAAACAGCCAAGCACTGGCAGCCCTGATGTTGACCTCACTGTCTTCTTTGATTCGTGACTTTTCCGCTCCTTGTTTGCAATGCAGCGAAGGGAGAGAACTCCCACTAAGCAATCGGCGGCAGTCGAGCTAATGGCCTAAGGTGGCAGGAGAGCCGATAATTGTAATACTTTGTTAAAAGATGATTGTAATGCTTTGTTAAAAGATGATTGTAATTCTTTGTTAGAAGATGAATTTAATGCTTTGTTAGAAGATGACTGTAAAGCTCTGTTAGAAGATAATTGTAATGCTTTGTCAGGAGATGATTGTAATGCTTTGTTAGAAGATAGCTGTAATGCTTTGTTAGAAGATGACTGTAAAGCTCTGTTAGAAGATAACTGTAATGCTTTGTCAGGAGATGATTGTAATGCTTTGTTAGAAGATAGCTGTAATGCTTTGTTAGAAGATGATTGTAATGCTTTGTTAGAAGATGATTGTAATGCTTTGTTAGAAGATGATTGTAATGCTTTGTTAGAAGATAGCTGTAATGCTTTGTTAGAAGATGATTGTAATGCTTTGTTAGAAGATAATTGTAATGCTTTGTTAGAAGATGATTGTAATGCTTTGATTGAAAATAATTGTAATGCTGACTTTTTCCGTATACAATATGACCTAATACATACAAGTTTTACATCACCTACAGTTTCTGTTTCATCCTCCTCTTCTTCTTTTTTTTCAGTATGTGCTGGATGTCTCGGAATGTATTTGAGAATTTGATAACAAGTGGCGAGATTGATGGAAAGAGAGCAAGAGGAAGACAAAGAGATAAATACCTGGATGGCCTGTCCAGATGGATGGGAGTGAGACAACAACACAGAACTGATCGATGATTCTGGTGATCGTGTGAGATAGTGAAACAGGACGGTCTATGTTTACTGGCATGGCACATGATGATGATAATGATAATGAAGATGATGATGGGTGTCTCGGTTTGTTTGTTTTTCCTCTCTGGATTGCTAATTGAAGGTGTGACCACTCCTGCCCACCCCTGCAGCTTCAAGAGTCAGACAGACATGACAAATAAAAAAAACCCTATCTAACATCCAAAAAAGATTTAATTAGGATACCCTAACAGCTACATGAGGCACTACCTGATGTCACCTGCAGTTCTGTGCTTGGTCATATCAAGCAGCATGGCGGATTGGAACAAATTATAATAGAAGGCATGATAACAACAAAGAGGGGCAGGGACCAACCAACATGAAGATGGGCACATGATATAAGTAGGGATGCTAGTGAAGTTTTATATTTTGGGTTTTTACTTATGAAATCATGACAGCTAGATAAAGATTAAAATTACAAATCCAATGGTACCTTATTTAAGCCTGTAAGTCAAATCTAAGCAGAGATATTAACATTTTAGTGGCGGATACCACCATAGAAAAATTATAGTGGAAATGCACAAAACATGGATTCCCAGCTGCGACCCAGTAAGATGAAATAACTCAATGTTTGCATTTTACGGCCATAACTTTTTTCTTTCTGAATGAATCCCTTAGCAACCATATATTGCTAGAATCGGGACAGTGAGACCTAACCGTTTATGCATGTCTCAATTACATACACTACGATATGCGCTTATTTAACATATGAAAATGTCCACAGACTGATTATTTTTCATCAAAAACCTTATACATTTACAGTTGTCTGCCAATGAGCTTGGCTTAAAACATATCATATTGTGTGTCCTGGCAAGGCGAACATAAAGATCATATAAATGTGCCAATGTCGGTTGACGTGACCTAGTTAACAAATACCGGACCCTACCCCTTCCTCCCCCCTTCCTGCAACAGCGATGTCACCCGGGGTGGTTGTATCTCCGCACAGTAATGACACCCGGGGTGGTTGCACCCCCCCCCCCCACAGTGATGATACCAGGGTGGCCGCACCCCCTTCCTGCTACCTACTTCCCCTGGTATCTCTCCTCTTCTTTCTTTCTTTTTCTTTCTTTTTCCCCATGTCTCAGTGTCAACTTTCTTTTCTTAGTCTCTCTTTTTTTCTTCCTCTCTCCTCCTCCTGCTCCCCCTCTTTCTCAACTTTGTCTCAATCTTCTACTGCCCCTCCCCCCAACTCTCCATTCTGTATAGTAGAAGAAAACATGAGCCCACTGGTAGTACACAGTCTGTTTTCATAATGGGTCAGTGACAGTGTTAACAACAGGGCAAACACAACAGGTGTGTTCATTTCTGGAAATCAGGTCAGGCTGGATTTTCTTTTCTTTCAAAAATGACCTTGGCTCCCATGTCCACCCAGCATTGAATGTAAGAAATGGATCTATAGCAGCCACACGCGGACAGCCAAGCATGGGAGGGTTGCCAATGGGATTTTTGTCAAACCCGAAGCTAAGCTAACCAAAAACCCAAGCAATATATAAGCACACAAAAAAAAAAAAACACCCAAAACTGATAAATAGTACATATTTTATAGTTAATTTTATAGTTACGAAATGAAACATTTACCCACTTTTATATAAGGATATGTATGTTGAAAAAAAAAGATTCCAAAATCTTAACCCAAGGTATCATAGTATAAAAATCCAGATATTAGGGGAAAGCCCAAGTACTGGCAGGCCAGAAGGACGGAACGCGGCCAGCGCTGCTGTTGTTTCTCGACCACTTAGATTTACCAATTCCGACAGAAAATTCCGTGGATTCTAAATAATAACAGACGCATAAAAAAAATGCTACAAGAGTTGTAGATGTTTAAAAAATAGCTCACTTAACATTTTTAATTTACTAAGTATCTGAAGTTAATTTCTAAAAAATTATCTTAGAAAATGCGCAATGATGGCCGAAATTAATTATTGGGATTTGGGGGTGAAATTTCCCATACTTATATAAAAATTAATGCAGAATTCAAAAATACACCACAAATTGCTGTAATCTGGTAATAAACAAAATTGATTTATTGTATACGCGTCAAAACCATCTCAGGTCAAAGCCTAGCATCTCTCCAAAAACTCCTAATAATTGTTCCGATTTGATCTTTCACGTAAAGAGCATGAAAAAATAATTTCTCGATAACGGTCAATTCGGGTTGCTTTTTTGGGACGTGATCATGTCTCTAGTTACGGATGAAAATATATAGCAAAATAAACCAAACAAAATGAACCATTGCTATACCTAATATAAGTGACTCCATTGAATGTAAAAAAACATGAAGCTGGAAAGCTGAGGAGGGACAGAGTTTATTTTAGGCAGACCGTGATAAGAGCAATCTTTTGCAAAAAGGCTGCAACATGATGATGAGGATGATACCTCTACTGCTGTTTAATATTGGCACTGCTATGGCCACCCTCCTTTTCTCTTCTATTAAACAGTCTCCGCTGCTGTTTATAAGTAACCTAGATATTCAATACATTTTTATTTCTTTATTTCTGGTTATTTTTGTTGTTGGTGACGGCCAATTCTGTCTGTGGACATTACTTTTGTTTACTTTCTGACAAAGCCTCCTTATAGGGCAGATTAAACTCAAATACTCTAAAGATGCAGCCATAATTGAATAAAAGAGGCTCCTCATGTTTTTCTTCCTCCTTCTCTTCTTGTTTTGTTTTTTTGTTTAACTTTATCTTCTTTCTCTTTCTAATGATCTTCTTATTATGAACAGTTTCTAAATACTTTCTGGTGTTATCAGTCACACACGCTGAGGGATATACTGAAGATGGGATCCGAGTGTTTATGGACTTGTCCGATGGACAATGAGGATAATCTGCTAATTAACTAAATGACTAGCTTTATAAAGAACCAAGCAAAAAACTGCTCTTACTACCTGCAGTTACCACTTTCACAGAGAAGACAGGTAGGTCACAGGGCTAGTTCGGTCGCTATTGATTGCATAAGTTAGGATTTTATTTTGGCTCCCGACAAAAAAAAAAAAAAACCTTACCAAGGATTCAAACCTGGTAGCTCACATGAGAGCCTAGAGTTCTTAAACTGTTAGGTCTGACAACAGATGGTAACTGACCTTGCAGATTTGGTAGCTTTGACAAAGATTTCTTCGAATGATTCAATATATTCTTCAAACGTGTGAGCCATCTTGGTATGCTCCAAACTCATGGCCCTGAACTTTGACCTCAGCTCATTAAGACTCCTGTCAATGCCAGAACAGTGGCGGGTTATGCGTTCTGCATGCAGAACAAGCTCAGCTGGAGAAAAACAAGAACTGCTGTTTAATGCTTCTGAACAAAGAGGACACAAACAACAGACAGCAAACTTTACTGCAGGACATATTTAGCTGCATCTTGTCAGAACTTTACTGCAGGACATATTTAGCTGCATCTTGTCAGAACTTTACTGCAGGACATATTTAGCATCATCTTGTCAGCTGCACATTACCTTCTGATTCTTCCTCTTGGCATTCTTTGGCTGTAAGCTTTAATAAAACGTTCTGGGTGTTTTGTCCACCTCTGAATGTTAGTCTGGTTCCAGAACCTGAGTGTTGCATGCACATCTGTTTTGCAGATCTGACTTATTTGTATGCAGGCTATTGGTTCTTTACCTTGCAGGCAGATGCACTCTGACTTCAACAGAAGTCCCTAAAAGGTTTACTCTTATGACATGCTTGCTGGAAAGGCAGTGGGTCTATTCTTGTTTTCCCCTCAATGCTGCTGCCCTGAAACCCACACAAGGGAGATGTATATTACAGTAACAACTTAATAAATTAACATACACACACACACACACACACAAAAAGGATTTTCTAGTAATTATTTTTCATTTTTAAATCACTATCAATGAAGTTCAACCCCACCAGGACCACACAACGAGTGACAAACACCTGGTGAAACAAAGTGCCAACATTTGGATGAGAATCACCCTGCCGCATGTCCCCGAAACCTTGTTCAACTTTTAGGTTAAATTAGTGCCCCAGAGAACAGCCAGAGGGGGTATTATAATAATGAAAAATTGCATACCATGCTGGGATGGCAACGTAGATTTTCTTTACATTACTAACAGATATTCAAAACAGTGTTTTTAAATAATGTGGACACAAACAATACACTCCACAACTGATTGCCTGGCATATTTTGCTGCATCTCATCAGGTGCATCACTACAGAGTTACATCAACACACAATGAAGCACAAGAAAGCTGAATTCTTTTCACTGAAGTACACAAATTACATGTTCTCCTCTGGACACACTACTGGTCTACCACCTAAGTTTAAGGTAGTCCCTTGACTAAAATGTTAGCATTCCATGTGGGGCCACATTCTGGGGGAGGGGGGGGGGAGGGAAAACCCACTGTCTCCCTAACAAGCATGTCATACAAGGGGACTAAATAGGCGTTTCTTTCAAAGTGGAAGTACATCCCCCTGAGAGGCAAAGAACCAAAAGTTTGCATACAAATAAGCTAGATCTGTCAAATGGATGTGCACGCAAAACTCAAGTTCTGAAATAAGACCGAAGTCCAGCAACAGATGAACAACCAGAACTTTTCACCAGAGTTTACAACTGATAAACACTAAGATGAAGAAATGTTAATGGACTTTTGCAGTAAAATGGTTCAGTTGTTTTTATTGCTCTCTGATAGTTACAGGTTTGGTTTTGGGCTCCACTGTTACGTTCACAAGTAAGGTGTTTCTCGAATACTGAGTGTGACTGCTTGAACTACGGAGTTTGTTCTTTATGCAACATTTTCTGAAGGCAGCCAAATGCTCTGTAAGGTCAGACAGAGAGTGGCAAAAACAGGACGATTGGGGTCAGAGAGAGAGAGAAAGAAAGAGAGAGAGAAAGAGAGGGAAGTAAGAGAGAGAGAGAGAGTGAGATCAAGCGATACAAAATAAAACCGGGTGCAAAGAAGTTGACCATCTCAATTTCAGACACATTAAAAAAAAACATAAGTAGAAATAAGTCAGTCTCACCAGCTCTGACATTGTGAATGTCCAGTTCAATTCTGCGGGGTCTTGGCTGGTGAAGGTGCAGTCTAAGGTCCAACTCCCCATTCAGCTCTTCACTCTGGGCACAGATAAAATATCTACATGTGTTAGCACATATAAAATGTCTGTGAATATTAGTAAAGATGAAATATCTACTCAGCATAGATTAAAAAAGATCTACAAATGTCATCATCCTCATCCTTTGTGTGCCGTTAGATGTCACATAGGGCTTGCATTCGATTCCTCCACTCCGCACTGTTACTTGCAGCTTTCACGATTTCTGACATGGAGTTCAGCCCAGCGTTTTTAGCTTCTCATAATAATGTTATTCTTAATTCTTCCCTGGACATCCTCTTTTTCTCAGGCCATTTGTTTTCCATTTTAGTACCTGATTTGTAATTCTTTGCTAATTTTGTCTCCAATGTGAGCACAAATAAAATGTGCAGACATACTGACACAGGTAAAAGTTAGCACAGGTAAAATTTCTACAAATATCGGCATAATCAGATGCCTACACATGTTAGCACACAAAATGTCTACAAATGTCAGCACAGATAAAATATCTAAAAATGTCAGCACGGATAAAATGTCTGAAAATGTAAGTTCAGATAAAATGTATACAAAAGTCAGCACATTTAAAATGTCAGCATAGATAAAATGTCTACAGATGTAAGTAAAGATAAAATGTCTACAAATATGAATGAAGATGAAACGTATACAAATATGAGTAAAGAAAGAAATGTCTACAAATGTCGGTATGGATAAAATGTCAATGAATGTTGGCACAGATATCAAAGATCAAATATCAGTCCACATACAATGTTTACATATGTCAGCACAAATAAAAATGTAAAGATGGTACAGTCCATGCAGTGTGGTTTTGTCTGTGCACAAACTTCTATCTTACTGATTGTAAATCATTTTTATTACTGATGATCTTTCAGGGCATGATGCCAAACAGTTTGCAGAACCAACTCCAGCATTTATTGGATGGTTTAACTTGGCAATTTGATGTTCACTAGTTTGCCATTGCTTCTGATCAGTCTGTCTCTCAATACCACTGTCAAAATCAACAAAAAGCGATCAACTGCCAAATCGTCCCCAGTTAAAATCTAACCAGGTAGCATGGAATCATGAAGTACGTTCACAACACCTAAGCCACTGATGCCGATTGCCAAACTATCTTAGTTATTATAGTGCATCCCACTGTAGGATGCAATTTTGCTGTTGTTTTAAAGCCCCACACTGGCGGTTGCCAGGGGCCCTGATATAATGCAACCTATAGGTTGAACAAGGTTTCTCGGACTCGTCCCCAGGTGATCCTCATCCGATTGGTGACACTTTATGTCAGCGATGTTTACTGTTCGGTGTGATGTCCTGGTGGGGATGAAGGTCAGTCGGACCAAACTATTGAGCATGTTCCTTCCATTTTTTTTTGCAGAGCCTTTCTTCCACATGTAGTGTGTTTCTGTGACTCAGATGTTACTGACACATTTCATAATCCTCAGTGAACCAGAGTTTGATTTCTGTGGTAGGGAGTTTGGAAAAAGACCTTTCTCATGGCCGTCGTACAATGATTGTTGAGAGTCACACCGTGGAGGAGATTGTAGCCTCACTCTGTAATGTTCCCCAAAACAGCAGCACAGACCCACTGCAGGCAGTCACCATTGTGGGAGCCACTGATGTGCAGCAGAAATAAGCTTACCTCAGTTCCGAAGGTTGTAGGTTCAAATCTGAATGAAGTGTTGTGAGATGATGCTGTAATTAGACAATGATACCGTTAATGACATACCACCCATTGATTTTTCCCTTTTGTCTATGTCAAGAGTGACGTCATTTTATTCAGTGATGACATACTGGGATATCCCTATGTGTATACATGTGCCAAATAGGAATTTCCCTGTTTGTCTAATCTGTAATTTCCCAGTATGTTAGAGCCCATTGCATTCTGGTAAAGAAATTGGTGCTAGCACCGAGCAACTTTGTGGCTAAGTTTACAGCTGGTGAATGCAAAGGAAAAAAAAAAAAACAAGAAATGACCAAAGTCTCCTGGACTCAGCTGGATCTTACCTTAGTAACCACCACAGTGTTAGCTCTTACAAGAGCCTGCTGGCACCAGTCCTCCAAATGTTCCAGAAAGTTCATGCGGATTCTACAGGAATACAAAAACAGTATTGCAAAATATGAAAATATATATGTATGCATGTATTTGTGCATATGTGTGTGTGTGTGTATGTGTGTATGTGTGAGTGTATGTGTGTGTGTGTGTGTGTGTGTGTGTGAGTGTATGTGTGTGCACATGTGTGTGCATAAGTAATCAGGTAATCATATGTCCAACTTTGCAACAAATGAGTTACCCAGTGGTTGCTTCATGCTTGTGCCAACAACAACAACAACAGCAGCAGCAACAACAAAACCACACAAAATAAATGCTCCTTGTATTTTAAGCAATCACGCCTCTGCACAATCTGCAGTCTTTAACAGCATGTATCATATTGTGTGCTACATCCCCCCCCCCCCCCCCCACCTCCCATACCCCACCCCTCAACTTCAAGTGCCATGACAAAAGACTGTCAACAATCTTCTGATGTTGTCTCTCTCTGCCTCTTTTCCCACAGATCATTCCAGTGGTCACAACATGTCCCAGTTTCCTTCTTCTCATAACATGACCCCCCCCCCCCCCCCCCCCCCCCAAAAAAAAAAAATGATGACTTATCTTTTTCTGATGTTTGTGATAAATTGTCTTCAAGCCCTCACCATTTGCAAAACATTTTTGTTGTTCTTTCATAATGACCAAGAAATTGTAAAATTCTTCAGTAAAACCACATTTCCAAGCCCTCAAGAAATTGTTTGGCTTGTTTGTTCATAGTTGAGTAAAGGTCCTTTTTCCACGCCTTTAGGCGTATAGGGTATATAGTGCTAGACCTATATTTTAATAGATCAATGGCACAAGTTAGGTCATGTGGTCAGCATCACGCCGACCGCCTTTACTTCCCTGGACTGCACACATTACCCACTCAAGGCTGGTTCAACCTGGGAGTCAAGGTCTTTTTTGAAAAAATTCAGGCTCCACCAGGGAGCAAACCCATTACCTTCTGATCCGCGCACAAGTATCTAGTCGCCACATCATGGCGACTTCCTTGTTTGTTCATGATCCAGGATTTACAGCCAAAATCATGTGCGTGTGCGCACACACACATATGTGTTATATTTAGGGCCCGTGGCAAAAACCAGGGTTGGCTTAAAAATAACAAAATATTGCATCCCACACGGGGATAACTGTAATTAAACATGGAATATAACTGAGAGATAAAAAGCATAATGAAGACGTCTTGAAACAAATTAACTTGTGAAAAGAACTGATTGCCTGTATCATAAGTTAACAATTAATATTCTTGGAGCATGGCATGTCACTAGAAAAGAAAAGCTGGAGTATGTTGTGATAATGGGAAATTTGAAGGGAAGAGTGGCACTAGAGACGATGGACAGTTTGGTCTCAAGTCATAGAAGAACATCTTTTTCAGAAATAATTAACAGTTCATAGGCAACCATCAGTCTCTGGGGACCATGGAGTTATGCCTCTGGTTTTGGGAACAGCGTCTGCTGTGCTTGTAGAGTCAAATGCGGGAGTGGCAGTCTCCGCCACATAGTCCACATAAAAACGTTGATATGATATCGCTCCCAGGCTGGTTTTTCTCTCAGACGTCACCTCTCTACAGCTGGCTACTTTTGGCCTTTGTCAAGCTGCAACAGTTCATCTTTCACCGTCTATCTCCAAAGGAGTCCGCTGCAGCAGATCTCTCCCAAGTGTCTGTGCCAATCTTGATATCTTTCAGGTCACATTTGCATATGTCCTTATAGCATAGCTTTGGCCTACTTGCAGGTCTTATCCCAATTACCAGTAGTACATAAGACACACATTTTGTATGCTCTAACCATAGAAGACTTTCTTAACTCGAGCAAGTCTTGCTAGTTACAGCTGCCGTCACCATATGCTGTGATTATCCAGTTTTCTTATCGCACAAATAAACACTATTGTCTGGTAAGACGGAGTGTTCCCAACTAACTAACCAACATAAGACAGAAGGATATGGATAGACAGACACAAACCAACACAAGACAGAAGGATATGGATAGACAGACACAAACCAACATAAGACAGAAGGATATGGATAGACAGACACAAACCAACATAAGACAGAAGGATATGGATAGACAGACACAAACAAACACAAGACAGAAGACTATGGATACAGAAAATTACCAATGTCATATGACATAAACTGACACAGACAGTGTCTGTAAGAGACTTACGTGTCTCGGATTTGGCTGAAGACAGTCCCAGGAATATCTATGGCTTCAACCAACTCAGTGAATCTCTCAGACTCGCATTCAGAGCCAGCTTCCTCCTCTCTGACTTCAGTAAGGAAGGTCTGATCATCTGTCGTCTCTGACCTCTCCCCCTTATCTTCCTCTTCCTTTTTTTCTCCAAGTAGTTTATTGATGCTTCTTCTATCTGCCTCCCTCTGTAGGATATAAAACTCTGTACCTTTTGATGTTGATATCATTTCTTTCTTATATGAAGGGGTTTCACTCACACGGGCTTCCTAGAGGACGGATCAAAGATGCCTGGTCACTCACAAAATGCAAATCATTTAGAGCATATGTTTTATAACATGTAATTTAGATCACTGAGGAAAACTTATTTAATACCGGAGACAAAACACATTTTAGACATATTTTCTAACACATTTTAGATCATAGCTTTTATAACACAGCATTTTAGAAAATATATTTTAGAGCATCGCAACTTTTAGAACAGAAGAACAGATCGTTATCACTCAAGTCAGCAAATAAAATGTTGTCAATATTCAGTCAAAATTTTCACTTTACAATATGCCAAAGGTACACATGTGAATTCCTACTTAGAATAAATCAAAATAAAGAATTACTTTTCACACAACTACACAAATATTCAGGCATTTCAGTGTTCAAATGCAGCTTTTTCAAAACAAGGATTCAAATGTGTGTAAGGGTGTGTGCTCAGGCACTTGGCACCGCTGCCAGCAGTGTTACGGCTGGCAAGCTTTTCTTCAGAGAGGTGAAAAGTGAAATTTAAGTGGCTGCCAATGACCCATAGGGCACCCAGGTCAACCCCACCTTCCCATGGTGCATGCCAGAAAAGTGAAGCCGCGAGGTTTCGGCTAAAGAACATCTTTTAGAACATTATACCCCTGCCAGCTGACAAGTTAATATACTTCTAGACATAGCAGTCATCACATGCTGACACCTTTCCATGCCTTGAAAACAGAAAGTCACGAATCACCTCTTGTTTACTTAATATATTTATTTCCATCAATCTGTTCACTTGACACATGATCAGGTTGTTATCTTCTCATAATACGGCCAAAAATTATGTCAGCCTCGGTGTTTTAGCTTCTTTCAAAACCTTTAGGTTACTCAATTTGGTACACCTATAATGGCTACTAAATGCTTGAGGAATACGTTGAACATAAAATGGGATAAATTTAAGAGGGGTGAAGACAAAAGAGAAATGTCTGGGCAACCATTGTTAACAAATGGTAACTGAACTGGATAGGAGCAAACAAAGTTACCAGAGGAATTATTGTCTGATTTTCAGTCTGCATTGTGGAAGGTAAAAAATGTACTAACGTGGCATGAGTGGATACCATGTATCACGACGCCAACATTGCAGGGAATCACGTGGTTATACTGTCCGGGATATGCAGGAGTGCGGGGGAATGAAAGAGCAGATTTTCTGGCTATAAAAGTAAAGCTACGGGAACACTCGTAATAGGCAAGGGAGATAATCTGAAGACCATATATGAACAACTGTTAGCAGAAGGCACGAGATTAGATAAAAAAACATTGGCAAGATTGTGTGAACAAGGAATTAAGTGTGGATCCGGCAAGAAGGGATGGATGAGAGGAAGAGATCAGTGTGTGTATAATCAGTGTGCTACAGGTACAGTTAGCATCTACACCTTACGTCATTTGCCGTGGGAGACAGAGCATCTATGGGTTGGCCCGGTGTGCAGTGATGTTAATTCTTAAATCAGTAATCAGTAAACAACAGTTTTAAGACAAAAAAGATGGTGTTGTACTGGACATATCCTGGGAAGAAAGGAGCAGAGAATGACCAGACAGGCACTCACCAGTCAGCTGGCCTTTTACAGAATGTCATACTCTTCACAGCCTGAAAGTTTCTTCTTTCTCTAGCCAATTCTCTAGCCAGCGCTTTTGAAGCCAACGCATCTTCAATGTCTTGTCTCCACCTTGGAGGTTCGTCTCTGCCTCACTTTCTGCAAACTGTACCCTCCATCATTCTTTTCTCCAGGCCACCGTTCTGCTTAACTTGGCCTAAATACTTCCACTTCTGGGACAGGATGCTGTTTATCAGCAAATTCTTCTTGATGTTTAGATCATGTAGGATGTTGGTGGTTTTCTTCTTGTTTTTCTTCTTCTTCACTATTTGTTTTATAAATGATTATTTTATTTTTTTTATTTATAGTTAAACTATGAACAAAATTTTTTTATACAAAAAATTAACATAACAGATTATTACAAGTACAAATATTTTCAAAAAAGCTTGACGACCCCCCTGGAACTTCCCTGCACCCCTTTCCCCATCCGGGTCGAAAACCCCAGAATTAGATAAAGAGTGAATGTACTTACAAAATGAATTTCCGTGAATTCTGTGGTGCTTGTTTTTCCCTCAGCATCTTCAGATTCATCCTCTAGTTCAATTATCTCCTCATCATGCAATGCATACATCTGTTAAATTATTTGAAGTCTATTTCAGTTATTTTTTTAAAAATGGCTGACTCAAAATTCTTGAGTGGGTTATGGGGCCATAATCTGGTTGTGGGGGGTGGGGGGGTTATTGTCTTATTTCTTCTTCTTCTTCTGCGTTCGACATCAGTCATGCTAAACATTAGGTGCCGTCTGGGTCACAAATAGGATAGTGCGTTTAAGGTTGCCACCGGTCCCCCATAGCTTCTTCTTCTTTTTGCAATTTGGCTCCCTTGGGCCAGATCCACAGTCTTTGCTGGGAGAGGTTAGGGCAGTACTGCAGTATGTGCTCAGGGGTCTGTCTTTCTGCTCCACAATCACAGGCAGCAGATTCTTTTATGCCTATCCTGTACAGGCTTGCTCGAAGACCACAGTGTAATGTCCGAAGTCTAAAAATTGATGTTTGTTCTTTCCTGTTGAGTTTGTTTAGGCTGTCACTCTCTGGTTTGTAATCCCCATTCTGCTTTCTCCACTCCCGCTTAAAAGACTGCTTTAGCGCTGTTTTGGTTTCCTTGTAGCTGTGTGGTGGATGAGGTTGTGGAAGATTACTCCCAGCTTTTGCCAACTCATCTGCTCTCTCATTTCCTTGAATACCACAGTGGGCTGGTATCCACTGCAAGACCAGTTCTGCTTCCTTGGAGAGTAAGCCAATGTTGGTCCTTAGATCTGCAATTAGTTTGTCTTGTTTTTTGCTTGATAGTGCTTGGAGAACAGACAATGAGTCACTAAGTTTAACAATTTTGTGCCCTCTGTATTCTTGAGTGATAAGATGTTGGACTGCAGAAAGGAGGGCAGTTTCCCTACCTCTGAAGTTAGTGCAGATGTCACCTGCTGGTAGAGACAGAGTTTCTGCTCTACTGCTAGGGAGTTTAATGTATATTCCACAACCCCCCTTTCTGACTGCATTTGTAGCAGAGCCGTTGGTGAAAACCTGAGTCCAAGTGGTGTTTGGATACTTCTCATCAAGCATAGCAAGAGCCAGGGTTCTCTGTTGTGTCTCGGTCTGGGCATCTTTTGAAGTAATCCCTGGTACCTTTAGGACTACATTTGCCTTCTCTGGCTTGCTTGTCAATGGTTCTGGCCTAAGTTTTTCGCACAGTGCAACATCTCTTTCAAGCAGATCTTGGTGCTGTTTGTACAGTTCTCTAGCAAGGTGGTTGGGGCTCTGACGCTTCGGTCTGTTTTTTGTTCTCTCTTGAAATTTAAAATGCAATGGGTGACTTTGAAGTCTTTAAATTTCTCATACTGTAAAAGAGTTGTGTATTGTCTTCTGAGTTCGAGTGGTTCAGTGTCTGCTATTCTCTCTATCTCTCTGATAGGGGTGGTTTTCATGGCTCTGAGAACAATCCTTAATCCCATATTCTGAACCTTGTCCAGTTTTCCCATTGTTGTCTTGGCTGCTGCAGCCCATGCAGTGGAGGCATATTCCATGACTGGCCTGACTGCTCCAGCATATACTTGTTTTAGGATTCTAGAGTTAGCGCCCCATGTTGTACCCGCTAATTTTTTCATCACTGCAAGCTTCTTGAATGCTTTTCCCTGGACTGCTTCTACATGTGACTTCCATGTTAGTCGCGAATCAAGTGTAACGCCAAGAAAGGTAGGAGTGTCAGTCTGTGGAATGAGCTGGTTTTTTATCCAAATTTCAGTTTTTCTTTTTTTGGGAGAGAGAGAAAAGTGATGCTGTGCTTTATGAATTATTTAACTTTAGACCCCACTTTTCGGTCCGGGCTTGTACATTTTCCACAGTTTTCTGTAACAGATATGAGGCTGTGGTAGTGTATTCAGAGGCTGTGGTAGTGTATTCAGAGGCTGTGGTAGTGTATTCGGAGGCTGTGCAAACTGCAAAGTCATCGGCATGTAGGGTATTAGAAACGTGCTGGTGGCAGGTTGCTGTGATATCATTTATGGAAACCAGGAACAGAGTTGGTGCTATCGCACTGCCCTGGGGAACTCCTTCTCTTAGTTTTGCCAGTTTGCCAATGTGTCCATCAATTCTGAATCTGGCTCTGCGTTGGAAAAGAAAGTCTTTGATCCACTTGTACATGTTAAGTCTTTGATCCACTTGTACATGTTGTGCACAACTCCTGCCTGTAGCATATTGTCTTATGAATAGTGGACTGTTGGCTACAATTGTGGGGGGGGGGGGTGTATTGTCTTATGAATAGTGGACTGTTGGCAACGATGGGGGGGGGGGGGGTATTGTCTTATAAATAGTGGACTGTTGGCTACAATTGTGGGGGGGGGGTATTGTCTTATAAATAGTGGACTGTTGGCTACGATAGTGGGATGGGGGGGGGGGTGTATTGTCTTATAAATAGTGGAATGTTGGCTACAGTAGTAAGGGGAGGGGGGGGGGGAGGGTGTATTGTCTTATAAATAGTGCGCTGTCTTAAAAAAGTGGACTGTTTGCTACACATAGTTAGGGTGGTGGGGTGTATTGTCTTATAAATAGTGCACTGTTGGCTCTTATAAAAAGTGGACTGTTGGCTACAGTAGTAAAAGGGGAGAGGGGTGTATTGTCTTATAAATAGTGCACTGTTGGCCACACACTTGCCTGCGGTCATAATCAGGTCCTGAGAGAGCCCGAATTTTTTTAATGACCTTGGCTCCCAGCTCGACTCAGCCTTATAAAGGTATCAGGTACATTCTTGGAAGTAAAGGCAGCTGATGTGATGTTAACAACATCACTCATGCCAATTGGTCTATTAAATATAGATTTAGCCTTATATGCCCAATACACCTGAAGGCATGGACAAGGGTCCATTACTTTGCTAGCTACTTTTTTAAGATAATACACTGTCTGCTGTATTGGTAAGATAATGTGCTGTCTGCTAAACTGTCCGTAGTGTGCTATCTGTTGTATTGGTAAGATAATGTGCTGTCTGCTAGACTGGAAAGATAGTGTGCTGTCTGCTGTATTGGTAAGATAATGTGCTGTCTGCTGTATTGGTAAGAAAATGTGCTGTCTGCTAAATTGGAAAGATAATGTGCAGTCTGCTGTATTGGTAAGATAATGTGCTGTCTGCTAAACTGGAAGGATAGTGTGCTGTCTGCTGTATTGGTAAGAAAATGTGCTGTCTGCTAAATTGGAAAGATAGTGTGCTATCTGCTGTGTTGGTAAGATAATGTGCTGTCTGCTAAACTGGAAAGTTAGTGTGCTGTCTAATTAACTGGAAAGATAATGTGCTGTCTGGTTAACTGGAAAGATACTGTGCTGTCTGCTTAACTGGAAAGATAATGTGCTGTCTGGTTAACTGGAAAGATAATGTGCTGTCTGGTTAACTGGAAAGATAATGTGCTGTCTGCTTAACTGGAAAGATAATGTGCTGTCTGGTTAACTGGAAAGATAATGTGCTGTCTGGCACATTGCTAAGATAATGTACGATCAGCTACAGTTGTGAACTAGCAACTTCATCTCTGTGCTCAGCGGCTGTAGGCTCTGATGGAAAGTCCTGGTTATTCGTCCACTTCTGATCTTTGGTCTTGTTTCAGGCCTTGAGTTTTCCATGCACATCCATTTTACTGCTGTGTTCACCTGCTGTAAGCTCCAGCGCAAAGTCCTGGTTGTTTGTCCATCTGGACTTTGGCTTTATGCCGGGGACTGATTTTTGTGTGTACATCCGTTTTACTGACTTATTTATGTGTAGCTGGTTGTTATTTTTCACTCTGGCAGATGTGCTATGACTTCAAAGGAAGCTCCTAAATAGTCAACTCCTATGACATGCATGTTGGGGAGACAGTGGGCCTATTCTTGTTTTCCCCACAGTGGGGCACTGGAACACACACGGGGAATCCATTTTACAGATCTGATTGATTTGTGTGCAGACTGTTGGTTCTTTGCCTCTCAGGCAGATGGAGCTCCAGAACCCACAAGAAAAAAAAAAGTGGCCCGGGGGGAGGGGGGGGGGGAGATAGCAACGACTGAAATAACCAGTTGTCCATGAGAATGCTGTTCCCAAATATGAATCTCTTTTAACAGCAGTGAGAAAGATAAATATGTAAAATCCAGTGGTAAAGACTTGTAACAAGAACCACTAGCATCTCCAAAATGATGCTCTATTAAAAAAAAAAATTTATAATAAAAAGTTAGTTGCATATCCTTTACAGAATGTTGCAGAACAAACCCCAGCATTTTTGGGGCTATTTTTTTTTTACTAGCCAAATTTTATATTTAGTAATTTGCCACTGCTTTCTAAAGGGTCAACTCTCGGTACCACTGTCAAAACCAACACAATACATGTTGCTGCCAGATTGCCTGCAGTTGGTATTGAACCCGGCACCCTGGTATTACGAAGCGTGTTCACAACGTCTAAGGCCCAGATGATGACCATGGCTCTAAAGAAGGGGAGGAAAATAGGCAAATCAAGAAAGACTCTGATATACAATTTGTTTGACTGGACAAGTCTCAAATATGCTGACTACCGATTTCAGAATCCACATCATAGCACACCAGGCATGTTATGTTATCACAATAGACGTCACTGCACATTGGGCAATCTCATGCATGCTCAGTCCTCTGATGCAGCAGCCACTTCAAGGCACTTCTACTAATTGCTCCTAAGAAAAGCCAGTTATAATGAATGGAGGCGGGTGATATCTGCAGCAATGAACCTCAAGTTCTCAGATGCGGAAGAAGAAGAAGAAGAAGAAATAGTCGTTGGAATTATGTCTCCTGTGTCCAGTACAAGTGTTCCTGCAGCTAACGCTTCTGTAGCCAGAAAATCCACTCTTTCATTCCCTCACACTCCTGCATGTCTCTGACAGTTTATCCACTTGAGGTCCTGTAATGTTGATGTGCTGAGGCTTGGTATCAAACATGCACAAATCAGATCCACTGCATCAGACCACCAGATGAAGAGGGGACTGATCAGACAATCAACTGCAGTTAGTGACCCAAACAACAAGCAGTGTTAAAGGAACTATGAAGAGTAATGCTCTTACCAAGTCATTTGGGACCACCCTTGACACTGACAAGTAACTGCAGACTGTCAGGTCATAATGACTGACTTCCTCAGTGACCACCGATGGATAGTTCTGGACTGATCTGATCTGCTGCTCATGAGCTGTCTCGTACCTGCATATATGGAAAAGGACACAAGTTAATCTATAGGAATCTGGTCTAAAATTTTATGTCATTCAATTTCTTTTTTTACAGATAGTTCTGGACTCTTCTTCTTCTTCTTTTTCTCCTCCTCCTTATACTTCTTCTTCTTCTTCTTTGCATTCACCAGTTTTAAACTTTGGCAGAAAGTTCTGGTTGTTTGTACACCTCCAGACTTTATTATTACCTCAAGAACATGAGTTCTGCATGCCTATCTGTTTTACAGATCTAGCTTATTTGTATGCAGACTGTTGGCTCCTTGCTTCTCAGGCAAATGCACTCAAGACTTCAAAGGATGCCCCCCAATTAGTGATTCCTACGACATTCTTACTGAAGAGGCAGTGGGATGATTCTTGTTTTCCCTACTATGAGGTCTGGAATAAACACAGGGAGGACTATTCTTATTTGTTGTCCATGATCTGTCTTGTACCTGCATACATGGAAAATGAATTTAGCATCTACAGGAATCTAGTCTGAAATTGTATTATCTCTTGTCTGGTTTGTACACTCTCTTAGACTGCTGTTCGTCTATCTCTTGATTTTGTCCTCCCAATTGTAATGTTATCTACTTATTACTCTCTTGCCCTCGACTGTTGATTCCAGTATGGTTTTTAAAAGTATGTGATGTCTTTTAATGTGGCTAAATTATTTCAAATGTCTCTATTTTTTTATTTCTTTCAGTAATACTCTTTTCCTTGTAGTCTTTCCAGAACCTCTGTAATAGACTTGTTTTTTATTTCCATGAAACACAACCTTCTCTTCTGTATATCCACACTTTACATTTACTGACTGTAAACTCCTGTTAAAAGTTCTGGTTGTTCATCCACTTCTGGACTTTGGTCTTGTTCCAGAACCTGTGTTTTGTGTGTACACCCATTTTACAGAGCTAGCTTATGTGTATGTAGACTGTGGTTCCTCCCTTCTCAATCAGAGAGTCAGACTTTAAAAGAAGGACCCTTAATTATCCACTTTTGCGACATGCTTGTTGTGGGGGACAGGGGGAAAAAGGGGGGCAGTCTATTTTTTTGTTTCACAAAATGGAGCCCCAGAACCCAGAAGGGGAGCTTTTTCTTTCCAGCAATAATGTCTTCCCTCACACGTCTTTCCAAACTACCATGCCTGTCGCGCGCCCACGTGGGTAAATACACTGAAATAGTGAGGGTGTGGGTTTGAACCTTAACAATGCCCACCCACGTGAGAAACTGGACTATTATCTAAGCTATGTTGATCCTAGAC